TTCCTTACCCTTCTCTGTCCTCCCCAGGAAAATAAGCCATAAGTGTCTTCAAAATGGCTGCACAAGCCAGCCAGGACACCTGTGCTCAGGATGACCCATTTCTGGAAAATCCCTGGTAAGCAACAGCTTTGTTTTATCTAAGATATCAGCACTTCTGCTCAGAGGACGAAGGGGGAGCTGCCTGCCTTGTAGTGAGGTAGAAGGTCGTGGCCGTCTCATGTCCGAGGGCTTCTGGTATCTAACTTCTGTTATCAGAAGTACCGGACTGATAGTACTGGGCCACGTGCTTGCCTTGTTACCCAGGTGACCCGTGCTCCATCCCCGGCATCCCATATGGTCCCTCAAGTTCACCAGGAGTGATCTCTTGAGTGCAGAGCCGGGAGCAAGCCCTGAACACTTCCGGGTGTGGCCCCCAAGGCAAATAAAAAATAAAGTATCTCATGGACTTCAATGTCTCATTAACTAAAATGTCTCATGGACTTGAACCCTGCATTCTCTTAGCGCTCTTCAGGAAGCTTTCCCAGCTAATGCACAGAGCTACATTTCCGGACTCCCTTTAAGGGACGGGATTTGACTCAGTGACCAAGTATGTGCCTTGCATGCACGTGGCCTGGCTCCATCGGTGGTGTGGGTGGAGAGGAGAGAGATGTGGCCTTGGTCTGTTCTCTGTGCGGAGGTATCGATCCATCCAATTGCTTGTTTTGTGTTTTATAGCACCGAGGAAAACAATGACAGAAATCCGAAGCAGCCATTAAACCAGGAGACTGGTGGACGTGGCCCAAATCCAGACAATGGACTGCTAGTTACACATGTTAACCAGACACAAGACTTACTGGTAAAGTTAATTAACTGAGAGGCAGGGGTTACAGACCACAGTTGGGGGTGGGATATGGGGGTGCAGAATGTGTCAATGTGGGGATCTTTATTTGCATAGACTTCTCAGACTGAAAAATATTAGTTACGTGTTCATCCTGTAACCCCCTGCCTTCAGAAGTGACTGAAAAACCTCTAAGGGTTTTGTGTTTGTTTTGGTTTTGTTTGTGGGCACACCCAGCAGTGCTCAGGGCTTATTTCTGGCTCTGAGCTTAGGAATCCCTTTTGCTTCATATGGGAATCACATGGGGTGCTAGTGATTGAACCAGGGTCAGCCACATGTAAGGCAAGTGGCTTACTTCCTTTAGTATCTCTCGGTTCCTCTAAGTCATAAAAATTGTATAAGCAATTGGCCACACCTTCAAATACTCAGGCATATGCAATGTTCTGTCCAGGGTATTCCTCAAGTCTAATGAATTTAATTCTAAGATTTCCTTTCTCTGTATTTATTTTTTCCTTTCAAATTTGCTGTCATCAAGACCCTAAAATTCAGTTTTAGGAAGTACTATCAGAGCAAGGGTTTGATGTGGGACAGTTGAATCCGCCTTTGAATAGACAGAAGAGGCGTTGGGCCGAATCTTGAGAGATCTTCCCAAGATGCTATGTGATGGTCTAAAACTTAGAATTCTCTCTGCCATAGACACTCTTGTCATCGGGATAAAGCTTGATCTCTGACTGTCCATCTAATTTACACTAGAGATTGACTATGACACCTTTGAAATGATGGTCAAAATGAAGAATTTGGGGTTGTGTGTGTGTGTGTGTGTGTGCTTGTGCCACAATCAGATGTGCTCGGGGCTTCTCCTGTCTTGGTGCTTGGGGTCATTCCCAGCCATGCTTAGGGGACCATGCAGGGACCCCGAGAAACTCATAGCATGCACCCCAGCCCTTCCCATTATGGGTTTTTGTTGCGGAGGGAGGTACCAAGCTGTGCTCAGGATGCCCACAAGCCACTCCCAGCAATATTTGACCTGTGGTACCAGCAGTTGAGTGCCAGGCCACCAGTGCTACCCCACCTGGACATTCAGTGTCTGGCTGGGGAGTGCGGGAGAGCAAATTTGAGAAGAGTGACATCTAGTGTTCATATGCTGTCATTGCCAAGTGGGTTTTGGTCGTACTGTTCACGGCAAGAATGTTACTTAGCATATAGATTCAGCTAAATTAACTTTCCGTTGGGACCCCCAATCCCTGCCAGGCGTAATCCTTGAGCACAGAGCTAGGAGTAATCCCTGAGCACAGAGCCAGGAACAAGTTCTGAGCACAGAGCCAGGAGTAAGCCCTGAGCCCATCCGAGTGTGGCTTCCAAACCAAAAAAACCTAAAACAAAAAACCAAGCAAAACCCCTCTACCAAGATCATAAAAACGAAGCTGGTAGAAGGAAACCCCAGCAGACTGTCTCCCACTGTCCCTCTGTCCCCTCCTCTCCCTCTCTGCTCTCCGGGGCAGCTCGCTCAGCTTCAGAGGAGAGTTCTCTGCACTTCTCTACCACCTCACCACAAGCCTAAGCAGAACCTGCTGAGTGTTCAAGCAGGTCCCCAGTAGATGGACAGGGCACCTCTGGATCTCCACCAAAGTCCCAGCATGTGTCCAGGAGTCCAGACCCACTCCTCAGCCCCTGTGCAATGTCCCACACTCCGGACCGCCCCCGGCTGTCCATCACGGTGACACGCAGGGAGGTCTGCGGGGTCCCTGTCTGCGCCGGGCCCGCCTTCCCAGCCTCTCCTCAGCCACACAGGGCAACCCTTTTCTCTTCAAACATTCGCAGCCCAGCCCAGTATGCACCCCCACCCCCAGCCCCACCCCCACCCCAGTGTGTGTTCCCGGCCTCCTCCTTGGCCTTCAGATCTCCAGACCAGGACCTTCTCTCATCCCCACCCTCAGAAGTAGAATCTGTCTTCCCACTTCCACCCTGTTGTTCTCTATCACATTTCCCCCCTCCACATCCTATCCATTTTGTTTGGGGGGTCACATCCGGTGGTGTTCTGGATTGACTCCTGGCTCTGTGCTCAGGGATCACTCCTCCTGGCTCAGAGATCACTCAAGGGACTCTATGGGGTGCCAGGAACTGGAACTAGGCTAGTCTGCCGGCCAGGGAAAAGCCTTAGGCTCTGAACTGTGTTTCTGGCCTCGACACTTACTTTCTAGAGCTGGTGTTTTTGGAAATCCCACCAGGAAGCCAGGAGGCTATGACAACCTAGACATGTTCAGTGGGGAACAGTGACCCAGGGCCTCGGCCGATGTTGGTCCAGCATGTGTCCTGCCAGGGGCAGGAGACAGCCTTAGAGGGTCCTGCAGAACAGTCATCTCAGTGGGGACCTCTTATTTAGAAACTTGTGGGATTGGTTCTTTTTTCATTTTCTTCTTTTTTTGGCCAGGCCAGGCTCCTCGTGGCGTATTCGATATGCCAAAAACAGTAACAAGTCTCACGATGGAGACGTTACTAGCGCCCGCTCGAGCAAATCGATGAATAATGGGAAGACAGTGCTGCGGTGCTTTTTTTTGTCATATATGGTGGTGCTGAGGGCTTCTCCTTGCGGGGTGCTTAAGGGCCACTCTGGTTTGTTTCATTTCTGTTTTGTTGGGGGTCACCCCCAGTGATGCTCAGGATTTACTCCTGGTCTGCACTCAGGAATTACTCCTGGCAGGGCATATGAGATGCCAGGTTTCAAACCCAAGTCGCAACATGCCCAGAAAGTTGCCCTCCCCGCTGTGCTATTGCTCCGGCTTAAGGACCACTCTAAAGGAGCTCGTGGGACCAAGTGGTGCCAGACATCAAACCCCAACCTCCTGTATGCAGAGCTCATATGCTGGCCTTGAGCCATTTCCTGGGCCCAAGGCAATGGCATTCCCGTCTTGAACACCCAGGGGCCCACACACCAGAGACCATGCCCCGTGCTACTGACGCTCTGAAGCATGCGTGAAAGCAACAGCAGCTTCCAGGGAAGGAGAGCAAGGCTCAGGGCTCTGGGGCTCGGATCAGTCCTCTCCATCTTGGCTCCCAGAAAGCATTGCTGAGGTCGGCTTCCTGCCTGTGAACAATTTCTGCTCCACCACCAAGAAGCTTGACCTTCAGTAAGGGCCACGGGCCTCAAGAGGCAGTTGGGTCTGTCGCCTATGAATTCTTCCTGTTAATATTGGTCCACTGGCTTGTGACCTCTAGGATGAACAGAAGATATCCCCCCGTAACCCCTCCCCCCCACACACACATACACTTCCTTCAACTCAGCCAATGTTGACCTGCCCCTCTGTCACACTGAGAAGGAGGGCAAAACTCATGCTCTTAATGACACAGAGGAGGCAAGTGTGCAAATAAATAAAGGTTTTCCAGATAAGAGCCAGCCCAGGTCCTTTATTCCACACTTACCCACGCAGGAGTTGGCAGGAGTGGGCAGTCTATGGTGGGAAAGGGGAGAAGCCTTAGGTGTGGCAGGAAGGAGGGTGTGGATAGGGGTAATCTGGGAGCTGGGGGCTGCTGGTTGGAAGGTGGGGATGCTAGGAGATTGGGAGGGTGCGTGTATTTGGCCTTCTCGCATTGGTTCCAGATCAGAGATAGTCCCCAGATAGGAACTTGGCCATTCTGGCAGAGGCCATGGACTAAAGCTCAAAGCCCACCTAGAATCTGGCCATTCTGCACACTGAGTCTCTCAAAAGGCAAGATGAAACAAGATTGGGGTTTTGATTTTGGTGGTTGTGTGTGTGTGTGTGTGGGGGGGGGGGGGGGTTGGAGGGCCACACCTGGCAATGCTCAGGGCTTACTCCTGGCTCTGTACTCAGGTATCACTCCTGGCCGTGCTCAGGCGACCATAGGGGATGCTGGGGATCAAGCCCCAATCAGGCGCCTGCAAGGCAAGCACCTTCTCCACTGTGCTATTGCTCCAGCCCCAAGATGCAGCAAGCAATCCCTGTCTTGTGGCATACTGGGGCTGAGGTGAGGAGTGATGCTGAGCATTTCCAGGCTGCTGGCTCAAGCATGGACCCCCACTCAGAGTCACCTCCTCCCCCTGTTTGAGAAAGCAAGGACTGTTCCGGGCCGGTCACGCTCTGATAGCCTCACGCGGGGTCTCAAGCGCACCTTCAGCCTGGCCTTCCCTCCCGTTTCCTGTTTGACTCTGACTGTCGCCCCGCAGAGGCTGCAGGGGAGTGAGACCCCACCCTCGGCGTGGGAGGACGACGAAGACTGGCTTTCCACTCACAGTCTAAAGTTTAGGAAACTCACCGTGACTGACCTCCTCAGGCAGGGCCTGGCTCTGCGGTAAGTCTGGAGCTATTCCGCTCGGCCCCTGTCTGCAGGGCCCGGAGGCCCCCTCCTAATGCCAGCTCTCTGCAGGGAGGACGACGGATGTGGTGGCATGAAGAAAATACACTTCTCCACCCGGATTCTCTACCAATTCGAATCAAAGCTCAATGAGTAAGTCTGTGTCGCAATCAGCCTCCCAACAGCCTCAGAACTTGTTTTTCAGTCTTCCAGCCCCAGATAACTTCATGCAGACAATCATTTCTGTGAAACCTTGGAAAGGACTTGTCCCAATTTTGGCCCCAAATTTCCTCTTGTCTTTCATAAAAACGTTGGACTGGGGTTGGAGCAATAGCACAGTGGGTAGGGCATTTGCCTTGAATGCGGTTACCCGGGTTCAATTTCCAGCATCCCATATGGTCCCCTGAGCATCGCCAGGGGTGATTCCTGAGTGCAGAGCCAGGAGGACTCCCTGAGCATCGTCAAGTGTGGCCCAAAAAGAAAAAAAAAAAACCAAGTTGGACTGTCTCAATTTGCATCCACCCTTCAAAACCTAGGATGCCCTTGACTGAGCATAAACCACAGCCTCATGATTATTTTTTGTTGATTTTGGGGCCATACCCAGCAGTGCTCAGGGGTTACTCCTGGCTCTGTGCTCAGGGATCATTCCTGGTGTGCTGGGGGAACCATAAATGATGCCGGGAACCAAAGCCAGGTGGGTTAGCCACATGCAAGGCAACCACTATCACTCGAGAACTTTATACTTTTGCAAACATCTGTCCAAAATAATAGAATTTACCTTTCTTAACATGTCAGAAGTTTTGTGTGAAGACATGAAAGAGCTTTACTGGATCCTCATGACAAGTTGAAATCTAATATTGCTCTTGTCAGTTCACCAGAAGCAGTTCACCAAATGACCGATTTGCCAGATGTGTCAAAACTTTTTTGGGGGGTTGGAGGTGGGGAGTCACACCTGGTGATGATCAGGAATTGCTCCTGGCTCTGCACTCAGAAATGACCCCTGACAGTAATTGGGGAGCCATATGGGATGCCAGGGATGGAACACGAGTCAGCTGTGTCCAAGGCAAATGCCCAACTTGCTGTACTATTACTCTGGCCCATGTCAAAACATTTTAATTGGGGCTTTCATGCAAATCTTACTGGGCTGAAGGTTAACATTGACCTTCAAGAATTCTAATGTCTGGTTGATTTGTCTTAATTGCAGATTCAGTATTTAATGAATGTTCAGCTCTTTTAATGTTAATTGGTCACTTTAGAGAATTCACTTTTAGGACACTTATGACAAATGGGCTAAAATTGGCTTGAGAGAGTTCTGCTACTGTCTTCTCTCTCCTCTCTCTCTCTCTCTCTCCCTCCCTCTCTCACTCTCCCTCCCTCCCTTTCTTTCCTGTGGTGCTGGAAATCAGCAGATCCCACACCTGTGAGATATAGACATTGTCCCTGAGCCACATGTCCTGCCTTTCATTATCTTCATGTCAGAGAACCAACCGGGGCTCAAATTGGTCACCCTACCTGCCCCGAGTCAAACAGCTAGTAAACGGTTGTGATATCTCAATCATAAGCATGCCTCATTGTAGAGCTTATTTTCTTAGCTCTAGGCACATGCCTGTACGCCCTACAATGCTACCTCCTGCCATGCACTGGCCTGTGATTTCCTATCTCAGAGGTCTTTGCCCTTCTCTGGGCTTTCTGGTCTTACCTGTCCTCAACAAGGTTCATTTTTTTCTTTTCTTTTTTTTTTCTGGCTTTTTGGGGCCACACCTGGAGATGTTCAGGGAATACTCCTGGCTCTGCATTTGGGAATTATTCCTGGTGTTGCTCAAGGGACCATATGGGATGCGAGGAATTGAACCCTGATTGGCTGTGAGCAAGGAAAATGCCTTCCCCACTGTACTGTCACTCAGGCCTCTCAGCAAGGTTCATTGTGTTTAATTCTAGAGACTGAGTGCAGAACGGGAGCTGCTGGTGGGAGCTCCCTCCACCCAGCCCCTGGTTTTGCAAAGCTCTGTTCTCAGGCCAACCCAGGTTCGATCTCTAGCACCCGATATGGTCCACCCCCCAGCACACCAGGAGCACTCCCTGAGCACTGCTTCGTGTGACCCCCAAACAAATAAACAAAGACCAATCAAATGCCCGGAGGACCTGCTGTCCCACCACCTCTGGACCATCTCCAGGAGGCCAGAAGCTGCCGTTTGAGGAAGACACTGATTTGGGAAAAATCAAGGGTTTCTAGGGTCCTTTGAGGACACTCTCCAGCCTACACACACACACACACACAAAAAAAAACACAAACACACACACACACACACACGAGTTCCACCATAGCAGTCACTGGTGATGTGTCATGGACCCCCAAACAGCCTCCTCTATACCCTTGGTCCATGGCACACTGATGCTGTCACTTTTCCACGTCACCTCATCTTAGCCCCATGTGTTGGCCACATTCAAAACCAAGTCCTGGGGCTGGAGTGATAGTACAGTGGGTAGGGTATTTGACTTGCACACGACTGACCCGGGTTAGATTTCCAGCATCCCATATGGTCCCCCGAACACCGCCAGGAGTCATTCCTGAATGCAGAACCAGGAGTAACCCCTGTGCATCTCTGGGTGTGACCCAAAAAACAAAATAAAATAAAACCCCAAGTCCTGCTACCCATTCCGTGCCCAGGCGCCTGGCTGTTTCTCAGTGATGGGGCTGACCTCAGTGTGACGGGTCTTGTGTTTTGACAGAGCGATTCATCTCTACCAACAGAGAATTCGGTGGCTCTCCGAACAAAGCAAGAAGGTAACAGATGCATTTCCTTCCTGGCCACCTTTTCTCTCCTTCCCATCTGTGCTTTGTCACAACCCTGGTGAATGCTAGAGCCGCAGCTGAAATTGGCTCAGGCTAAAAGGGGAATTTCCAGCCCCCAACAGAGGAATGCCAGGCCCGCTCTACCCGGGTGGCTGGCACTGCTGGCCTTCATCTTCTAGGCACTGCTCTCTGCCAGCTGGTTTCATCCTCCGACAGGCACTCTGGAGGCGCGGGGTGATGCTCTCCGCCTTGAAAGAATCTCCCCTTCCTTGGTCAGTTCAGTCTCCCGAGTTCTGGCGTGACTCTTGTTCTGGGGGCGGGGGCACTCCGCCAGCCCTAGGGGAACTGTGCTGTGCCTGGGACTCAACCTGAGACTCCCACATAAGCAACGTGGACGCAAGCCCTTTAAGCATGTCCCTGGCCCTTCCGTGTGCCTAGTTATATCTGTCCCCAGACTGAAGGGAAGAGAAGGTGCCACTTGGCTCAGTCGCAGGGAATGGTGGGAAAATCTGGGAAGTGGGAAGGGGTATTGGGTTAGACCCTTGCAGAGCTCATGGAGAGACTGGGTGCTCTTACCAGCAGAGGGACCAGATCCAGATCGTGAGAGCCATAAAGGTCTCGTCAACCCCCAAACCTCAAACTCAGGCTCATCCTCTGCACAGAACTTTTTATTTTATGTTATTTTTATGTTTTTCAGTTTCAATACTCTCTCTCTCTTTTTTTTTTCTTTTTGGGTCATACCCAGCGATTTGCGATTCCTCCGCCCCTCTCGGAGAGCCCGGCAAGCTACCGAGAGTATTCGATATGCCAGACACAGTAACAACAAAGTCTCCAATGGAGAAGTTACTGGGCCCGCTCGAGCAAATCGACGATCAACGGGAGGGCCTTTACCTTACCTTACCTTACCCAGCGATGCTCAGGGGTTACTCCTGGCGCTGTGCTCCTGAATTACTCCTAGCAGTGCTTGGGGGACCATATGGGATGCTGAGGATTGAACCCGAGTTGACAATGTGCAAAGCAAACGCCCTACCCACTGTACTATCGCTCCAGCTCTCAATGCTCTCTTAAAATAACTTTTCTTGAAAGTCTGATTTGGGGGCCAGAGAGATAGTACAGCGGATAGGGTGCTGGCTTTGTACGTGACCATCCCATGTGGTTCCCCCAAACACCGCCAGCAGTGATCCTTGAGCACAGAACCAACAGTAAGCCCTGAGCACAGCCAGGTGTGGCCTCCTGACAGGGATGCAGAGATAGTGCAGTGGGAATGGCACTTGCCAGACAGAGAGGCATGAACAGATCCTAAGGACCACCAGATGTGGCCTTAAAACCAATCAATCAATCAAAAAAAATCAAACAAACAAAAAACCCTAAAATAGTGACATTTTCTTTTTGTAGCTGCCTTCTGTCGGGAGGCTTCTCAGGGCTGTAATTCCCTCCTGGGCTGATACAATTATTCTGTGAGATAAATAAATGTCTATAATTTTAGTGGCAGAGAAACCAAAGTCTCACCCGTGCAAGGCTAATGCTATGCCACGGAGCTACCTCCCGGGCTGCTTTCTTGAAATGTCCTGTTTGTTTTCTTTGGGGGCCATACCCAGCACTTCTCAGGGGGCTACTCCCAGCTCTGTGCTAGGGAGTCACTCTTGGCGATGCTCAGGGGACCAGGTTGAACCTGGGCCACCAGCATGCAAAGCATGTACTGTCCATTGACCTCTCTCCAGCCCTATCTCACATTTTGAAAGAAATAGACAAGTCTCCAAATTTGAACTTCTTTTTGCTTTTTCTTTTTTTTGCGGGGCAGGGTGGGGGGCAGGTTGGCTCACACCCAGCAGTGCTGGGTACTTTCTTCTGGCTCTGTGCTCAGGGATCACTCTTGGTGGGGATCAGGACATTCAAGGCATGTGTCCTACCTGTTGTACTATTGTTGCAGCCAAAATTTGAACTTCTTTTGAGCCTTGAAGATTTCTGATATCCTGGGAGATTCTTGTTTCATTTGGATCATGAATTCCACAAATACTGGCAAATAATTACAAATAATTACGAGGACTCAGGACCATTCTGGAACTGGGGGTACAAACATGTCCAGTAGCAAAGATTGTCCTTCATGGAGCTTATGGGAGTCAGAAAATCATGTACAAGATCAGGGACAGAATGGGAGGGAAGGAGGGAGGGAGAGAGAGAAGAGAGAATGGGAGGAGAGAGAGGGAGAAGAGAGGGAGGGAGAGAGAGAGAGAGAGCACTATAGGCTGAGTCAGCATGCATTGCAATCAAGAGGTCCAGGTTTAGTCCTCTGAGCACTGAGCTGGGAATAATGCCTGAGTAGCAAAAGAGGGTGAGGGAGTAGATGGGCTAGGGGGGCAGTTCCTTCCACAGAGCAGTCAAGGAGGAGATGTTTGAACAGACCCCAAAAGAAGGGAAGGAAGGAGCCACATAGATGGCTGAGAATGTTCCCGGAAGAGGAAAAGCGAGTGTGGAGCTAGCTTGGCACATTGCAGAAACTACAGGCAGACCATGGAGTGAGCCCAGAGGAAGCACAGGGAGGGTGGAGATGAGGGCAGAGGTGGGCTTAGGGAGGCCTTGCCGAGTTGAACTTTCCTGCTGCTGGGGAAGGTTTTAGGCCGGAGGTGACATGATCTGACTCCAGTTTTTGTTTGTTTGTTTGTCTTTTTGAGTCACACCCAGCAATGCTCAGGGATTATTCCTGGCTCTGCACTCAGGAATCACTCCTGACAGTGCTCGGGGGGGCCCTATGGGATACTGGGGATCGAACGCAAGTCAGCCACATGCAAGGCAAATGCCCTCCCCACTGTACTATCGCCCCATCCCTCCTGTGACTCCAGTTTAAAATGATCACTTGCGGGACTGGAATGATAGCACAGCGGGATGGGCATTTGCCTTGCACGTGGCTGACCCAGGTTCAATTCCTGGCACCCCATATAGTGTCCTGAGTCCTGCTAGGAGTGGTACCTGAACACAGAGCCAGGAGTAATCCCTGAACATCACCAGGTATGCATCCCTGCCTCCCCCCCAAAAAAAAATGATCACTTGGCTGCTTCCTAAAACTGATTGTGGAGTACAAAGAATGGGAGTAGTCAAGTCCACAGAGTAGTCAAGGAGGAGATGTTTGAACAGACCCCAAAAGAAGGGAAGGAAGGAGGCCTCGACCAAGGAGGCCGAGGGTGAAGGTGCCTTGAGGGGTGTGGGTGGAGGGGGTGAGAAATAGGAGATTGGGGCAAATTAGGAAGCAACGTGGCAGGACTTATGATGGGCTGGGTAGGTTTGAGGCCAGAGTGTGCAGAGGTATGAGGCAGATCAGGATGGCAGGAGAGTATGCAGAGGCGGATTAGGACTGGGCTAGTTCCAAGAAGGCTAGAATTCTCTATTTCATGTCAAAAAAAAAATTCCATTTACCTTACAGCTCAGACCAGATGTGCAGCCCCCAGTAGCAATGGTGTGGAGGGAGTGATGACCCTGAGGAATATCATTAGAAGTGCACAGAAATGGGGACTGGAGGATCATACAGCGGGTTTGATCCCAGCACCCCATATAAGCGCGCCAGGAGTGATCCCTGAACAGAGCCAGAAATAAGCCCTGAACGCTTGCTGGTGTGGCCCCAAACCCAAACCCCAACAAATGAAGCGAACCAAAACACCTGTAGAAATTCACAGAAATACTCCTCCAGCCCATGAGCTTCAGCCAGCTGTCCCGCATGGGTCAGAGTTGGGGGAACTTTAAAGAAAGACTTGGGGGAACATTCAGATAAATGAGCATCAACTGGGGGGACTGGGTCTCCAACTTCTTATCTTACGAAGGGGGCTTTGCTTTAATCTCCATATTATTATTATTATTATATAATACAATAATATATTATAATAATAATATCAATTGTCCCAATAATATGACAAGGTAGTAAACACTGAGAAAATATTATATATATACATATATATGTATATGTATATATGTATATATATGTATATATATATATGGCATGGAGAGCCCGGCAAGCTACTGAGAGTATCTCGCTCGTATGGCAAAGCCTGGCAAGCTACCCATGACATATTCAATATGCCAAACACAGTAACAAGTCTCATGATGGAGACGTTACTGGGCCTGCTCGAGCAAATCAATAAACAACGGGAGGGCCGTGACTGTGATGATGATGATGATGATGATGATGATTATTATTAGGTTTGGGGGCCATACCTGGCTGTGTTCAGGGCTTACTCCTGGCTCTGCACTCAGGGATCGCTCCTGGTGGGCTCAGGGGACCATAGCATACCCATTCCTCCTGTGCTAACTCTCCAGCCCCTTCGTTTTATTAGTCACTGTCACTGTCACTGTCACTGTCCTCCCGTTGTTCATGGTTTTGCTTGAGCAGGCCCAGTAACAACTCCATTGTGAGACTTGTTACTGTGTTTGGCATATCGGATACATCATGGGTAGCTTGCCAGGCTTTGCAGTGCGGGCGAGATACTCTCGGTAGCTTGCCGGGCTCTCTGAGAGGGGCAGAGGAATCAAACCTGGCTTGGCCAGGTCAGCCGAGTGCTTGGCCATGCTCGGGGACCACATGGAGTGCCATAGATGGAACCCGGGTCAGGGGGTGTGCCAAACAAGCACACACCGCCCCCCCCCCCCCCCCCCCCCCCGCTGTACTATCACTCCAGTCATTGGACAGTTACTGTTAAGGTGGAGAAGACTCCAAGAATAGGCCGCCACAGCCATAGCCATGCACCGGCAGAACTATCCATGGCAAATGTGGAGACACACAGAGCTAAACTAGGTGCTCTCCCCAGCCTCTTTGTCTTTTTTTTTTTCTTCCCCTGCTTTTTGGGTCACACCCAGCGATGCGCAGGGGTTACTCCTGGCTCTGCACTCAGGAATTATTCCTGGCAGTGCTTGGGGAACCATATGGGAATCGAACCCGGGTCGTTGGGAATCGAACCTGGGTCGTCTGCGTTCAAGGCAAATGCCCTACCCACTGTGCTATTGCTCCAGTCCCCTCCCCTGGCCTCTTTGGTTCCAGGTGTTTGGCCTCATTCACGGAGAGAGGGTCGGCATCCTCATCCACATGTCGGTGTTCCGCAGCAGCTCTCAGAAGAAGGAGTTCCTCGAAGACCTGGAGGTGAGTCTCCTGGGCTGGGAGTCCTGCTCTGTCATCCTGGGTGGAGGACGGCCACATCAGCAAATGCAAAATGGGGTGTCCCCAGCATCCCCCCCGCAGGCTCAGCTAATTAGCACTTCCTGTAGTGGATGAGCTCAGTCATTTGAGGTGGGGTGTGAGCTTCGAGTGTTCTCACCAGGGCAGTCCCTAGAGCTCGTTGTGGTGCTGCCAGGTCCCTGGAAAGAGGCGTGAGGAACGGGACTGCGCTAGACTCAGCCCTGCAGAGCTGAACCTGGCCTCCTGGCTTCCCGGCGCTTCTGGGCTATGTGACTTGTCCATGACACAGGAGCAGAGAATACTGGAGTCAGACCCAAGGCCTGATTCCAGACCTTGGGATCTGCCATCTACACTCCAGGAGTGGGATGTGTGTGCGTGTGCATGCATGTGTGTGTGCGTGAGTATATGTGTGTGCGTGTGTGTGTGTGTGTGTGTGTTGGGGGAAGCATGCATGTTCTTGGGGGAACCCCTACAGCTTTGCTTTGAGAACCATCACGGCTCTAACCACTCTGTGCCTGGTCCCTATTTTAGCCGCGTCAGGCTACAGGTATGAGTGCAGCCCCTTGGGGACAGTCCTCAGAGCTATTTCCGAAGATGCCCCAGGGAGTCTGATACTCTCAGGGTTAAGCTGTGTGGGCAGCCTGCGGGTCACATGGGAGCTGCTGGGAAAAAGATGGAGCCTGGGACTGCGGAATGGTCCCCGGCATCATGAGCATTAACCAGCATCGTGGTCACTGCTCCAGCCAGCCTCTGTTCCCAACTCCTGTCCCCCGGGGGCACAGTGCAGGGGCCAGGGTCCTACGCCAGCGCATGCTGGGGCTCCAGCGAAGATGCCTCCCCACCCGCTCCCAGTGTGTAAGCATGTGGCCTTGGTCGGGACCTGCTCCAGGCTGACCAGCACTCCGCACTCAGTGCTCCATCCCCCATGCACAGAGCCTGCGTGCCAGGTACCCCTGCCACACCCCCAGGAGAGCGCAGGAAGCTGGTGTCACTTGAGGCCACTAGGTCAAGCCTCAAGCAGCCCCACTCCTGGCCCAGCTCCAGGATCAACTGCTAGTGTCCCTCTGTCCACAGAGCCTCATCCTGGAGCAGCTGAGCCGGAAGGAGGCGCTATACATCCTGGCATTTGGCTCCACCAGCAGCAGCCTCTGGCCAGGCCCTGTGGAAGTCAGCGCCTCCACGTGAGTGGCCGCTGACCTCGGCCCAGGGTTACCGTGCTGCACGTCGGGGTAGGAGGGCAGGGAGAAGGCAGGGAAGGGGGAGGGAAGCGGTCACTCTGGAGGTAAGGGTGCTGGAAGGAAGTACCAAGTGCCTGCTCTAGGGGGCCGGAGTGATAGTGCAGTGGGTAGAAACTTACAAGCAGCCCACCTGGATTTGATCCCTAATACACCATGTGGGTCCCTGCCAGGAGTGATCCCTGAGCACAGAGTCAGAGTCAGGAGTATCACTGGGTGTGGCCTAAAAAAAATTATTTTTAAGAGCCTGCCATAGAGGCAGGCTGGTGAGCAGGTAGGAAGCTGGGGACATCAGTGGAATGAAGGGGACACTGGGGAAGGGATTGGTGTTGGAGCATCGTACGCCTAAAACTCAATCATGAGTAACTTTGCTTTTTGAGTCACACCCAGCGATGCTCAGGGGTTACTCCTGGCTCTGCACTCAGGAATTACTCCTGGCAGACTCAGGGGACCATATGAGATGCCAGGGATCGAACCTGGGTTGACTGCATGCAAGGCAAAAGCCCTCTCCTTTGTTCTACCGTCCTAGCTCCCAAATCATGAGTAATTTTGTAATTCATGGTGATCCAATAATTTTTTTTTTTTTTGCTTTTTTGGGTCATACCTGGCATTGCACAGGGATTACTCCTGGCTCTGCACTCAGGAATTATTCCTGGTGGTGCGCAGGGGACCATATGGAATGCTGGGGATCGAACCCGGGTCGGCCGTGTGCAAGGCAAACACCCTCCCCGCTGTGCTGTAACTCCAGCCCCCCAATAATATTTTTAAAAAGACAAAAGAAACAGCACATTCCAGACCCTCACATATATGCAAGTGCAAGGAGACCATTCTCAAAAGCAGAAAGACAAGATGCCAGCAATTTAGGGACAGGGTCATTTTCATGAGCCATCTGCAAAGCGGAAATGAGTCAGCCATGATCCCCCTCGCCCCGTCTGGGGGCTGCTTTGTTCTGTTTCATCGGGGGAAGGTGCCCATGCAGCAGTGCTGGGGAGCTCTCGGCGGAGCTTGGCGCTGGCTTTGTGGCGCTGGGGGTGGAACTTAGGCCTCCTGCAAGCAGAGCAATGTCCCCACTCCTATGTGCCAGCTCCCAACCCTAGCACCATGTTGATCCAACAAATCAGACAGAATTTCCTGCTTATGACAGTAGCTCATTAAGAAAATTCAAACAGGGGCTGGAGCGATAGTACAGACGGGAGGGGGTTTGCCTTGCACGTGCCTGACTGGATTTCATCCCTAACATCCCATATGGTCCCCCGAGCATCTCCAGGAGTGATTCCTGAGCACAGAGCCAGGAGTAAGCCTTGAGCATCATCAGCTGTGGCCCTCAAAAAAACAAACAAACAAACAAACAAAAGAAGTAGAAGAAAATGTAAACATTAGGGCTAGAGAGATAGTCCAGTGCATAAGGCACTTGTCTTGCATGCAGATTACCTGGGTTCGAGCCCTGGTACTGCATAGGGTCCCCCCAAGCACTGCCAGGAGCAACCCCTAGGCACAGAGTCAGGAGTAAGGCCTGAGTACTGCCAGATGTGGCCCCAAAACAAACAAAAAATTATAAAATATAAAAATTATAAAATTCAGGGGCTGGAGCGATAGCACAGCGGGTAAGGCATTTGCCTTGCACGTGGCCAACCCGGGTTTGATTCCCAGTATCCTATATGGTCCCCCGAGCACCACCAGGAATAATTCCTGAGTGCGAAGCCAGGAGTAATCCCTGAGCACCGCCGGGCGTGACCCAAAAAAACAAAAACAAAGGGGGCTGGAGTGATAGCACAACGGGTAGGGCGTTTGCCATGTACACGGCTGACCCGGGTTCGATTCCCAGCATCCCATATGGTCCCCTGAGCACCGCCAGGAGTAATTCCTGAGTACAGAGCCAAGAGTATTGCCAGATGTGACCCAAAAAGAAAAAAATAATTATAAAATTAGAAAATTCAAATAGTACAGAAGGATAAATTGCAGCATATAAGTCTTCCTTCCTGCACATCCCTTCTCACCATTTTTGATGTCTGTGTCCTACTCCACTATATAGATGAGTAGTCCTTTATTTGGAATGTGTGTGTGTGTGTGTGTGTGTGTGTATAAAATGCAGATAACCTACCCCCTGTCCTATCTCTCTGGTGTGTGTGTGTTTGTGTAAGATGCAAACACCTTACCCCCGTCCTATCTCTCTGGGGTGTGTGTGTGTGTGTGTGTGTGTGTGTGTGTGTGTGTGTGTGTAAGATTCAGGCGCCTTACCTCATCCTATCTGTGTGTGTGTATGTGCTTGTGTGTAAAATGCAGGTACCTTACCCCTGTCCTCTCTCTCTCTCTCTCTCTCTCTCTCTCTCTCTCTCTCTCTCGTGTGTGTGTGTATGTGTGTGTGTAAGATATAGGCACCTTACCCCTGTCCTATTTATGAGTGTGTATATGTGCGTGTGTGTAAAATGCAGGTACCTTAGCCCTTGTCCTATCTGGGGTATGTGTGTGTGTGTGTGTGTGTGTGTGTGTGTGTGTGTGTGTGTGTATCTCCCACCCTATCTCTCTGGCCCTCTGATGTTCTTCTTAGGTGTCAGTGAGCCTCGTGAGCCTCGTTCCCCTGCCTGGTCGGCCACTGTGATGATCTACCGCTGTCTCCCACAGGCTCCAGGAACTGAAGCTCTGGGTGCAGACCCTGCAGCCCGAACGGGGGAGCAACCTCCTGCAGGCCCTGCGGAAGACCCTCGCTGTGAGAGGGCTGGATTCTCTGGTGACCATCATGGGGAGCTGGTGTGTCTTCTGAGAGGGGCCAGAGAGCCAGTTGTCTGAGGAAAGACCTTAGCGCGTGACCTTGGTGTACCCTTGGCGGGGGACCCGCCCTTCCCATCCCCTGCACTTGGCTTAGGGTCAGGCAGCCAGGGCAGGCCAGGAGGGGTCACAGGTTCGGGGGCTCAGCCCTGCCTCTTCCTCACCAGGCCTGGCCTGCAGACGGTCCTTCAGTTTGGGTAAACGTTTCCTGGGACTTAGCATTTTCTTTCTTTCTTTGTCTTACTTATTTTATTTTATTTTATTTTTTATTAATTTGCTTTTGTTGGGAGTGGGGGTAGCATTGGTGCCCCTGGCTCTGCTCAGGACTCACTCCTGGCAGTGCTCAGGGGTCCATATGGGGTGCCGGGGATCCAACCCAAGCAATATACCAGCTGTGCTATGACTCCAGTCCCCTTCCTATGTGTGTGTGTGTGTGTGTGTGTGTGTGTGTGTGTGTGTTTATGTCACATCCAGTGGTACCCAAAGCTAGTCCTGGCTCTGTGCTGAGAAGTGACCCCTGACCGTGTCTGGGGGACCGGACGTGGTGGTGGGGATCCAAACTGGGGTTGGCAGCCTGGCAAGGCCTGTGCTCTCCCTCCTCTCCCCGGAAGGCATCGTTTTGCTCTGGAATGTTCTCCAAGTGATCTGACTTGAGCTGCCCTCTTGTCTCCTTCCCTGTGTCCCCACGCCCAGCCCGGACCAGTCTTCGGAAATCCTATCTGATTACGTCCAGCAGTTGGTGCTGGGCCGGTGTGTCTTCATCCATATTGTCACCTACAAATGTGATGACCAGGTGCCCCCCGTAAGTCCTCTCAAGAAGCTGCTCCCGAGGGGCACTCGGAAGGGCTATGGCCAAAGTGGCCAGCCCTGGCATGGCCGTGCTCGCATTCACTTCCCCCCAAGTGTGGATCAGAACGTGGCCCCCTGTGGACAGAACTGTGGCCCCTTCAGTTCGGACGGGAGCACTGGGCCGGGGAGAAGGAGGAAGCGCGTGAGGGGACGGGGTCCCCACATGAGGCTGACCTGTCCCTATTCCTGCAGGCTGTGCTGAAGAACCTCGCTGAGGGCCTCAGGGCCCGCTACCACTGCTACAGCCCCGAGCAGGTGACTGTCCCTGCCCCACGCCCCCACTGCCCCTTCTTGTCGCTCACAGCCCTGCACGGGGGTGGGAGTAGGCAGCCAGGACAGACCATGCTTTCACCTCCCCTTCTTCCCTCCTCCATTCCACACTCAGTAGGTTCACACAATCACAATCACAACCATCCTGTTATTCGTCGATTGCCTCGAGCAGGCCCCAGTAATGTCTCTTCGTCCTAGCCCTGAGATTTTTTTTTAAAAAGTGCCATATTCAAGGCTCTTTCAGAGTTAGGAGAATGAGACCCTTCATTGTTATTGGGATTTGGCATATTGGGTACACCACAGGGAGTTTGCCAGACTCTGCTGTGTGGGCAGGCTACGTTCGGTAGCCTGCCAGTTTGTCTGAAGCAGGAATGAGATAAGCGGCCAAGCACTTCTGGGAGCTGGGTTTTATAGTCTCTGAGTCTTGGCCGCTGATGGGATTACACGGCGCCAGGGGGCCAGTTGGTGGGTGTGACCCCCGCCTACTGGAATTTGGAGGATCTGAGTGGAGGATGCCCAGCCCCAATCCGAGTAGACTTGGAGATCTCGGCCCCGGAACCCGCGTGGCTTTGTCCCTCTGCTGGTACCTTCATGTGTGCAGAGAGTGGTCTCAGCATGGTGGTGGCTGGTTCTGGAGGTCTTCGGCTGCTGGAGCCCTGGTCAGGGCGGGGAGGAAAACTCAACCCGCTCCCCTCCAAGGGGCCCCGGCAAGGACAGCCAGGCGCGGGGGCAGGAGACTCTATGCTGTTCTCTTCTGGGAGCTGGGTTTTATAAAAACCCAGCAGGTTCACTCGGGAAAATTCAGGTTTTAGCAAGTGTGGTGTGAGAACAGGAGAGATAGGACAGGGGGTAAGGCCTTGCATGTGGCCCTTGGAATTAGAGGCACCAATATGCCCCCCACTGCCGCCCCTGGGCTGGAGCGATAGCACAGCGGATAGGGCATTTGCCTTGCACGTGATTGACCCGGGTTCGATTCCTGCACCCCTCTCAGAGAGCCCAGCAAGCTACTGAGAGTATCTTGCCCAGTGGCAGAGCCTGGCAAGCTCCCCATGGCGTATTTGGTATGCCAAAAACAGTAATAACAAGTCTCACAATGGAGACGTTACTGGTGCCCGCTCGAGCAAATCCATGAACAGGAGGACAGTGCTACTGCGGCCTCTGGACCACCAGGGGTCACTCCTGGGCACAGAGACAGGAGTAGTTCCAAAGTACTGTGGGGTTTTAGTCATTGAGTCCCATGTAGAGAATGTGGGCACCACGTCCTCAAAAGATCCTTTGAGGGGCTAGAGAAATAGCACAGCGGCTAGGGCGTTTGCCTTGCATGTGGCTGACCCAGGTTCAGTCCGCGGCATCCCATGTGGTCCCCCCAAGCACCGCCAGGAGCAATTCCTGAGTGCAGAGCCAGGAGGAACCCCTGAGCATTGCTGGGTGTGACCCCCCCAAAAAAAGATCTTTTGTTCAACAAGGAGCTGGTGGCATTCCCGGGAGCCTGGAGGCCTGTGACCTTCCCCTCCCCACCCCTTTATTGCTGTCATGTGTGTCTGGGCTGGGGGTCACCGTCCGCCACCCCGACTGTAGTTTAAAGGGGCTAGTGGAAAGAGCTTTAGGGAATGATATCATTGCGCCCACTTCCCGCATTCACGCGTGGGATTTCTGGGTAGTTGATGCCTCTTGCTGCCCCCAGATCAATACCAATCAGGATGTGGAGTCGCTGCAGAAAGAAATCCAGGCGGCCCATGGCCTCCTGGAACACATCCAGGCCCTGTACCACAGCAGCCCCGGGGAGGAGCTCACCAACATGATGAACGAGGTAGGTGGTACTCTGAGATTCTGGAACCTTCCCCAGAGACCTCATTCCAGTCTCCTTTTCCACCTATCCAAGGGTCCAGCAACAGAACTCCCCGCCTTCCACTGTACCCTGAATTGGGCTTTCAACAGGGCTGGGAGAAGGATCTGGTGAATTTTCTCATTGAAGTGTTTATTTCAGAGGCTGGAGAGACAGTGCAGTGAGCAGGGCACTTACCGCACACATGCCAGCCTGTGGAGTGTGGCTTAAAAACAGAGGTGGCGGGGGGAGAAAGGAAGAGAAAGGAAGAGAGAGAGGGAGAGAGGATAGAAGGAAAGAAGGAAAGAGGGAAGGAAGGAAGAAAGAGAGAGAAAAAAAGGAGGGAGGGAGGGAGGGAGGGAGGAGGGAGGGAGGGAAGGAAGGAAGGAAGGAAGGAAGGAAGGAAGGAAGGAAGGAAGGAAGAAAGGAAGGAAGACAGTCTTGTTTTAGAGGTGTCTTCCAGCAGGATTCTGTCCTTCCCTTCCGACTCTTCAGAGAAGGGTGATCACCTCAGCCACCAAGTCACCTCTGTCCTTCCCACCCAGCAGCTCACGGCACTCAGGGACATTCCTGTTTGATGAATTGGTTTGTTTAGCCTTGGGGAAAAAAAAAGAGTCCAACCAGTTTATGGCCACAAGCACCATCAAAGGTCTGATCCACAGAGAACTTACAAGAGTCAGAAGGGAAACCAAGGGTGAGAGATGAGGGCGGGGAAGGGACAGCTGGTCCCCTGCTCTGGCTGGAGTTGCTCAGAAGCAGCATCTGGGCCTGGGATCTCAGGAGTCTGTGCCAGCCCGCTACTAAGGACCTTGGCGTAGTAACAGTTGTTTGGGTTATAATGGTTTTTGTTTTTCTGTTACGTTTATTTATTTATTTATTTTTGGCTTTGGGGTCACACCTGGTGATGCTCAGGAGTTACTCCTGGTTCTGCACCCAGGAATTACTCCAGGCTTTGCTCAGGGGACCATATGGGATGCCAGGGATCAAACCCAGGTTGGCTGCATGAAAGGCAAATGCCTTACCCACTGTACTATTGCTCCAGCCCCTATTTTTATTTTTATTTACTTTTCCCCACCTCCCTCTATTATTATTATTATTATTATTATTATTATTATTATTGCTTTTTGGGTAACACCTGGTGATGCACAGGGGTTACTCTTGACTCGTGCACTCAAGAATTACTCCTGGTGGTGCTCGTGGAATCATATGAGATGCTGGGAATTGAACCCAGGTCGGCCGTGTGCATGGCAAATGCTCTACCCCTATGCTATCGCTCCAGCCCCCCCTCTATTATTTTTAACTGGGGTAGACTTGGTACATGCTGCATGTAATTTGGGGCCATACATGTGATGTTTGATACCTACATGCAGTAATATTAGCTAACACTTATCATGTCACACAATTATTCCTTTTCTGTGTTTCTGTGTTGAGAACAATTAAGATCTAGTCGCTTAGCAACTTGAAAATTTGTAACAGTATTATTAATGGTGATGACTGTATTGGACGGCTCTTTTATCATTTGCTCTTTTGAAGGGAGAGGTTGAACCTCCCAAGCAGTGCTCAGGGAATCGGGGGTTCAGTGTTCAGCCTGGCGGTTGGTGCAGCGTGTGGACCCAGCAGTGATGAGGCTCTGGGTTGAATCTTCTAAAGCAACAAAAAGAAAGCAAAAGTGGGTCTGGAGCGATAGCACAGCAGATAGGGTGTTTGCCTTGCACGCGGCTGACCCAGGTTCGATTCCCAGCATCCCATATGGTCCCCTGAGCACCGCCAGGAGTAATTCCTGAGTGCAAAGCCAGGAGTAACCCCTGAGCATCATCAGGTGTGATGCAAAAAAAAAAAAAAAAAGGAAAAGAGAAGGAAGGATATTCCAGGGGACAGCCGGGTGCCTGGGTGACTGAGGGTTTGTTTTCCAGCTTTAAAATAGGATCATGTCATGAAGATGTTGTTTTTGTGTCATTTCATTTTTCACACAGATTGCAAATGGGCCATTGACAAATTCCTTGCCTAAGCCCCCAAGGCATGAGGACCCTCTCACAATTGAGTTCCCGAATTTGGACAAAAATTCCACAGAATGGCTAAAAACATACGGTCTCAAAGGTAAATCCCCAAAGAGGAAGAACCAGGAGTCAGGTGAGAGGAAGAACCAGGAATCAGGTGTCTGACTGGAAAGCATGAAGCCACTGGACTTTGGGGTGGAGCGGGGGGCCTCAGACCTCACTATTATTTGTTCTTACAGCCAAGAAGTTAAGCCTTTATCAGGTGCTGGCCCCCAATGCATTCTCCCCCGTGGAGGAGTTTGTGCCTATTCTCAAGAAAACGGTGTCATCGACTATCCATGAGGTAATTCCAGTCAGGCTTCTTTCCCTCCCTGGCACAGAAGCTCCAAGGCGGCATTTCACTTCTCCTCAGACGTTCAGGAAGTACAGGATCAGGGGCCTGAGGGTCTGGGTGGGGTGCAGGCTTTCACCAAAGTCACTCTAAGGCCTAGTTCCCAAAGGTGTGAAAATGGAACTTGGCTCATGAGAGAAATCAATCTGGTCCTACGGGGACTTCCTCCACGGAAGTTTCCCTGCAACCTTTTTGCCATCTCTGTGTCCTCAACTTTACCTCTTAGAGACTTCTCTCGTTCTTAATGTGTGTTGAATGCCCATGTTTGTCCCTACCATTGTGAGCTCTGAAAAAGAAGAAAAACTCTCTTCTCTAACTCTATATCCCCATGATCTAGTGTAATAAGCAACTAATAAGTGTTAAGAAGGAAGAAAGGAAGGAAGGAAAGAAGGATGGAGAGGAAGGAAGGAAGGAAGGAAGGAAGGAAGGAAGGAAGGAAGGAAGGAAGAAGAGGACAGGGGAGGGGAGGTAAGGGAGGAGGAGGGGAAGAAAGGGGGAGGGAAAGAGAGAGGAGAGAGAATGGGAGGAGAGAGAAGGGGAGGGAAGGGGAAAGGAAGGAGGGAAAGGGAGAAATAAAGACGTGGATAGGTAGATAACTTTATTGGTAGAAGGATTAATGGATGGATAGAATATGAATAAATGAAATTTTAAATGGAAGGATGGATTACACAATAGAATAAACTATAAAAGAATAGAAAATTAAAAAGTAAGAATGAAAGGTTGGAGAAATGGAAGAGACTAGACTAGACTAGTGACTAGAAAGGTCATTAGAAAGATGGAACAATTAAAGGGACAGAGTGGAGGCAGGTCATTCTGGCAGTGGACGGAGGAAGATGATGACTCAGTGGGCCAGTAGAACACAGGGAACAAGTTTGATTTTCAACCTGGCCCACTGGGTTCCCAAACGAAAGAAACCATGGCCAGGACATCTCCAGGGCTCCAACTCTGCCCTTCCCAGCACCGCCATTCAGACCTTATAAGAACGACACTGATGTTGAGACAAGTCTCTCGATTGTGCCACCTGACTTGTCAAATCTAGTTTTTTTTTTTTTGGTCGGGGGGAATTCATATCCCCAAAAGACTCTGCTGCCAGGTCCAGAAAAGCAATATCTGGGGTTGGGGGGAAGGGGGTGGGGAGCATTGGTGTAATCCCATCCTAGACATGTTCAGAGTCCATTTCTGCTGTGCATTTGGATGGAGAGCCCAATACTCAAAATCCTTCTTCAAATATGCTCCCCCTCATGGTGTCCCTGGGTGCAGAAGGCAATGGTACAATTCGAGTGGCACGATGGGACAATGAAGAATCTTCATGTGGATATACCCTTCCTCTATGAGTACCAGGTCAGTGATGGGTGCGGTTGGTCAGAATACGGGGTGTGTGAAGGGGGAAGGACAGGAACGTACCAGGGGACGTGGGAGACACCAAATTGTTGAATGAATATCTCCTTCTAAACAAAGACTGCTCTGCATAATCTCCTCCTCCTCCTCCCCACGAGATACACAGTTACAACATTGTTCATGATTGTCATACAATGTTCAAACACCTGTCCCTTCAGCAGTGTACACTTCCCACTACCAGTGTCCCCAGTTTTCTTCCTTCCACCCTTCCACCCCTTAGTCTGCCTCTATGGCAAGTACTTTTCTTCTCCTCCTCCTGCTCTTCCTCCTCTTCCTCCTCCTCCTCCTCCTCCTCTTCCTCTTCCTCCTCCTCCTTCTTTCCCTTCTCCTCCTCCTTCTCTTTCTTCTTCTCCTTCTCCTCTCTCTGTCTCTCTCTTGCATTCTCTCTCTCCTTTTGAGCATTATGGTTTGCAATACAGGTACTGAAAGTTTATCATGTACATTCCTTTACTTCCTTTCAGCACTCAGTTCTTGTCCAGAGTGATCATTTCCAACTACCATTGTCATAGCAGTCCCGTCTCTATCCTCACTGCCCTCTCCACCCCTTCTTGTGGCAAGCTTCCCACTCCTGGCCCTCATTCCTACTGTCCTTAGCTAATAGTCTCATCCTTTGTTTTTTATATCCTGTGGGTCATCTCATGCTTTTCCCACTCACAGTCCCTTCCCCAAGAAATGCAACCTGGGCAAGCACTGCCAGAAACCCCTCAGACTCATCACACCTTTGAACTCATTTTTGGGTCGTTTTTTATTAAGGAACATTTTGCTATTGCCATTTTTTTAACCACTTCCACATTTGGTGACACAGCCCCTATGGAGTCCTGACCACAGTTTAAGAAGTTAGAATCTTGGGGCTGGAGCAATAGCACAGCAGGTAAGGCATTTGCCTTGCACACAACCGACCCGGGTTCGATTCCCAGCGTCCCATATGGTCCCCCAAGCAGCGCCAGGAGTAATTCCTGAGTGCATGAGCCAGGAATAACCTCTGTGCATCACCGGGTGTGACCTTAAAAGCAAAAAAAAAAAAAAAAAAAGGAAGTTAGGATCTAGCAGAGTATTTATACCCCAGACCTGGACACATAAATCCTAGAAGCTAACAAGTTCATCCCTCCCCCGCCCCCAAGACTTTACAACCGGCCATACTCTGCATGGTCAGGTCACTCTGTGTGTCCCCACGGATTTGCAGAAACAGCTCAACAGAATTGTGCGGCTCTACGAGAGGCGGATCGAGTGGCTGTCCCTGGCCAGCAGAAGAATCTGGGGCACCGTCTGTGAGAAAAGGTACCTTCTCCTAGCTGGGGCCTTGCTCTTTGTGGGTCCAGCACGTGCACTTGACTTATCCAACATGTCCTAACAAGTCCCCTGCGAGCGGCCTTGGAAGTCTTCCCTCAGGTTCAGGATCAGCAGAATCCCTAGAGGAAAAAGTCACCAGTGTCAGTATCAGCATCCAAACCGTCCCTCGGGGTGCTTTCCGGTCTGAAGCAACAGAGGGTAGGCGGGAACCAACGTAAATGTGAAAATGGGAGTTAGAGTGTGGTCACTGACAATTTTTTAAAATTTTATTATTTTATTATGATTATTATTATTTTGCTTTTTGGGTCACACCCGGTGAAGCACAGGGGTTACTCCTGGCTTTGCGCTCTGGAATTACTCCTGGCGGTTTTTGAGGGACCATATGGGATGCTGGGAATTGAACCCAGGTTGGCCACGTGCAAGGCAAACGCCCTACCCGCTGTCCTATGGATTCAGTCCTGGCAATTCTAAAATAAAGCCAATGACTGCCTTCAGTTCTGGTTTGATCCAGAAGTCCATGCATGTCAGGAATCTGTCTCCATCACTCATCTCTGCCTCCTTCCCTCTTGGTTTTGTTTTCAGGCAGACATTCTTCCTCCTGGTGGCAAGATTCCACTTGAAGCTCCCAACTTAATTTCTCGGGGAGGGAGTGTTATCCTCAGGGCTATTATGTCCCACTGGTACTTGGCCAACCAGGCCAGGCAGTTCAGTGCTACTCAGGATTGTGGATGTGGTACTACTCAGGACTGGGGTGCTCAGGGCCATCCTAGTGGTGCTCGGGGACTCAGTGGTGGTTGGGGGGTAAGGGATGGGATGCTGGAGATGATTTTTGGTACCTCGAGCATGCAAAGCATATATTCTAGACTTTTGAACTATCTCCCTGGTGCCAATTTTTTTCTCTCTTTTCTGGGGCAAGGGTGGGAGCACACACGGCAGTGCTCAGAGCTTATTTCTGGTTCTGCACTTAGGGATCACTCCTGGCAGGCTCAGAGGAGCATTATGGGGTGCCAGGGATGGAACCTGGTCAAATGCCTGCAAGGCAAGCACCCTTCCTATGGTATTATTTCTCTGCCCCTGCTAATTTACTTTCTACCAGTTTATCACACCCGGGGCTCTGGGCCTGGACCTATCCGTGAGCTATTTTCTTCAGTCAGAAAGACAGGGAGTTGATTTTGGCTAAAATCAAAACCTGACTTTTTGTTTGTTTTATTTGAGGCCACACCGGGTAGTGCTCGGAGCCTTACTCCTAGCGAGGCTCAGCAAACCAAAGGGGGTGCCTGGGATCAAACCCAGTTGACCATATGCATGGCAAGTACCTTACCTGGTATTCTATATTTTCTGGTCTTCAAAAACCCACTTTGGGCTGACCCTCCCCAACTCAAATGGACTAACGGAGGAACATGTTCTTCCCAAATGCAAATCAGGATGCTCCTGCTACAGGAGCTAAGAATTGCTTACTTGGGAATAAAAATAGTTATCAATTATAGCCATTAAAAAATTCCATACCAGAACTAGAGAGATAGTACAGAGGGTAGCCAACCTGGGTTCAATCCCTAGCATCCCGAAGTTCCCCAAGGCCACCTGTCTCTGCACTTAGGGAGTGACCCTGAGTAATCCCTGAGCATCACTGGTGTCTGGTTCAAAAACAAAAAAAACAAGTTTCATACCTTATCTGATGTGTTACCACTTTGAAAGTATTACGTATTATATCATATATCAGTGAGACCTTCTGAGGGGCCTTACTATAAATGGTTGCTAGTTAAATATACTAAGGGTAAGACAGGTTTTGTGACTTACCCAAGGCAACACACAAGAAGTGGGTCTTGAACCAAAAGGCTTCCCACTCTAAATCCACTACATCTTTTTGCTTCCATGGTGTTTCTAAATGAGCTGGGGCTGCAGCTCAGCACTTGCCTTACAGGCCCTGAATTTAACCCCCAGCACTGAAAAGTAAAATCATCACTGTGTCTCCAAATGAGACTGCAAGGAGAAGCCAGGGCTATAAGATTTGAAGTAGTGAAAGGAGAAAGTGAAACAAGGATAGAAATCTCGTAACAGAGAGGAAATAAAAAAGATGCAAACCCCAGAGGCGCAGATCCCTGCCTCCCTCCCCACCACCATCTACTTTGCTTCATTTCCTTCCCTTTTCTTTTGAAAGACCCCAATTCTGGGTCAGAGACAGCTGGTGAGAGAGTGCTTGCATGCAGAAATCCTGGGTCAGATTCTGAGCACCCCACAACCCCCCAAGCACTGTAGGTAGAGATGCCGAACAAACTCAGAAGTAGCCCCCAGCACCTTCTGGGGCCAGGTGTGACCCTAAACCAAAATAAATAAAGACCCCCACCTCTCGTCATATTGAATGAACTAAGCATAGTTACATGTATGACAGTACATGTCATTCATGCAGTCCCTGACCATAAACCATCTATTTTGCCATGAGACTTTATTCACGAAGTTTCCCCAGCCCCTGAGTTTACTCTTGTATCTTGGTTTTGGTTTTGGGCCTCACCCAGTGATGCTCAGGATCTACTCATGGCCCAGCACTGAGGGGTCACCTCTGGCTGGCCTTAGGGGAGCCATGCGGGGTGCTGGGAACCAAACCCGAGCTGGCCGCGTGCAAGGCAGGTGCCCTGTCCACCGTCCTATCTCTGCAGTCCCCGGTGTTAACCCACCTCTGTTGACCTTAAACCATGAAGATGACTTGCGCCAGCTCTTAATTTTAACTTGGCAGACAAAATTTCCCTGGAAAACACTTTAAATAGTAAAATGGAACAACACAAACGTTATCGGAGCGATTTGGTTCTCTGCTTAAAGCTTGTGTTTCTTTTTAGGGTGGTTATACTGCTCGATATCTCTGAGACCAATTCCATATACATTATTCACATCCAGCACTCCCTGCGGCTTCTGCTGGAGGAGCAGCTCTCCAACAAAGACTGCTTCAACGTCATCGCGTACGTGCCCAGCGCCATGCGGGGGAGGCCAGGAGTGTCCGCCTGTCCTCGCTGGGCTGAGGCATCTGGTGGGTGGCGGGCTGTGAAGGCCCCTAGAGCCAGCGTCCTAGGATGGCCACCGGTTTATCTGATTTGAAGGAGCTTGTTTGCAGCTTGAATAATTAAGGAGTTGCAGGACAGTCCCACTGGGACGAAGGTGATAAGCGGCCCCCAAAGGCGCAGCTTGATCAGCCAGGATACAGTAACACAGCTCATTGCCCTATTTGGCTCCTGAGCTGCTAAACACAGGAGAAGAAGAAAACAAAACAAAACAAAACAAAAAAACAGCCAGGCACAGGCCCAGTTTAGATCTAGCAAGGCACAATAATTCAAATACTGCAATTGCAGGGCCCAGAGATGGGGTCCAGGGACTGGGGCATTTGCCGGGCATGGGCATGCAAGTGACCCTGATTTGAATCCCTAGCACTATGTTTGGTCATCCCCAGCACGTGGATGGTCCTCAGCAAAGTGATTCCTGAGCACAGAGCTAGGAATAAGCCCTGAGTGCCCCGGGTGGGACCCCAACCCCCCCACCAAAACAGAAAGAATATTTAGAATTGCAATTCTAAATTTTCATTATATATACTTATGTGTGCATATAAAGCAATATATATTCAAATTGCATATAAAACTATGTATTTAAACAATATAAAAGTATAATTTAAATGGCATGTAAACTATATATTTAAATTATATAATAACTATATAGCATGTATTATATAAAAGGTAAAGGTAAAGGTAAAGGCCCTCCCGTTGATCGTCGATTTGCTCCAGCGGGCCCAGTAACGTCTCCATTGGAGACTTTGTTGTTACTGTGTCTGGCATATCGAATACTCTCGGTAGCTTGCCGGGCTCTCCGAGAGGGGCGGAGGAATCGAACTCGGGTCGGCCATGTTGGCCGCTTGTAAGGCGAACGCCCTACCCGCTGTGCTTGTATTATATTATATAACTATATAACATTTAAATTGAATTTATTCACAGGGAATTTTATATACAAGTTTAATATTAAAACTTTAGCATTTTTAATTTAACATTTTAGCATTATAAATATAAATATTCTATACACAAATACTATCTAATCTATATTAAATTATATGTTTATAACATATATTACAGATTAGTATATGCAATTTGAAAGTATATTTATATCAGAGCTGGAGTGATAGTACAGTGAGTGTGGCCTTTGCCTTGAAGGTGGCTGACCCAGGTTTGATCCCGGCACCCGATATGGTCCCCCAAGCACTGCCAGGAGTAATTCCTGAGTGCAGAGCTGAGTTACCCCTGAGCATTGCCAGGTTCGGCCCAAAATCAAACAGAAAAGTATAGTTATATATAATTTAAATCATGAAACTGAAGAGATAGATAGTACAGTGGGTAGGGTACATTCTTGCCTTGAATTCAGCCAATGCAGGTCTAATCCCTGGCTTCCCATATGGTTCCTCAAGCAATGCCAGGAGTGACCCCTGAGTGAAGGTCCAGAAATAACCCCTGGGCATCGCCAGATGTGGACCAGAAATAAACAAATATATAAACATGCATATATTTACATATATGTTTATATATGCATTTTAATTATATGCCATATACAAATGAATATATGTGTATATATACATTTTTAGTTGTATATCATTTTAAAAATTAGAGAAAAACAGAAACCCACTTAAACATTTATACAATTTCACTTTAATAGAATGTTCTTAACCTAATAAGGCTAATTATGTCTTTATCTGTACCTGACCCTGATATTTTGTTTGTTTTGGGGTCACACCTGGCTTGATTCCGGACTTTTCCTGGTTCTTGCTCAGGGATCACCCCTGGAGGGGGTTGAGGGAATCATATGCAGGGCTGGGAATAGAGCCCAGCTCAGCCACATGCGAGGCAAACACTCTACCCGCTGTTACATATCGCCAGGTCCCTAAGTTAACATTTTTGGGCTCTTAGGATAGATGCCAAGAAGTAGAATAGCTGGGTTCTAATGGAAGCTTAGTTCTTAATTTCTCTGTCTCAATACTGTTTTTCCATAAAGGCTGAGCCAGACAGTGGGAGCTATTTCTATATAAGTATGATGCTTCCTCAACACGCAGAGGAGTAATAAGAGAAACGGGGACAAGAGAGTGTGGGAATGGGGGCATTGTCTGTAAACAGGGCCTCGGAAGGTGATGAAATGATGATGAAATGAAGAGGCCAAGTGGAGGAATTAACCTTGTATAGGAAGAAGCACCTTTTCCTTGGTTAAAGAGACTGGGGATCACAATCCTCTCAGGAGCTTTTAAATTCTGTCTTGGAGAAACTGAGACAAAACCTATAATGATACAGACAAAAGTAGAAAATGTGTCATGAGAATGAATCAGCACTGGGGATTTAAAAAGGGGGGGGGGTTATTCCCTCCTTGTGGGTGAAAGGGACCCCACAGACCAGGGAGAACTATTCATCTTCCATTAGAAGGTTGGGTGGGAGAGCTGGTCCTTGTTCTGGTCTCTGCCTCGGCCCTGATCACTCCCACCCTGAAGAGCCTGAGGCACATTTCGTAACCACCAAGGAAGTGACGAGTTGGGCCTGGTGGCACCCTGATGTTTGGGGTGCCATTCCAGTGTTGCCTCCCTTGACAGCTTGGGGATCCCAAGAGTGGGGACAGTGGCTGCATCTGCCTTAGATAGCTCTTTCTCTCCTCCAAGGTTCGGAAGCACAGTTGAGAGCTGGAGGCCAGAGATGGTTCCTGTGAACCACAAAAACCTACAAAGCGCCTGGCGGTAGGTGTGCCTCCGTGGTCTGGGCGCAGCCTCTTCAGCGCTGTCATCGCTGTCTCCCTCTCCACCATAAGCGTGACAGAAAATCTCAACCGCTTGCCTTCCCTGCCCTCTGCACCCAGCCTTCTTCAGCCTGTTCTTCCTTCAGCCTGTTCTTCCCTCAGCCTGTTCTTCCTCAGCACATCCTCAAACCATCCTCCCTCAGCTTATTCTCCCTCAGCCTGTCCTCCCTCAGCACATTCTCCCTCAGCAAATCCTCCCTCAGAACATCCTCCCTCAGAACAGCCTCCCTCCGCCTGTCCTCCATCAGTCTGTCCTCCCTCAGCACGTCCTCCCTCACCTCCTGCCTCCAGGTGGGCCCTGGGCCTGCGCTGTGAGGGCAGCAGGAATGTCCTCGGTGCCCTGCGGAAGGCTCTGGAAGTGGACTTCAAGGACAAAGGCAGATACGAGTCCCAGGGCATCTACCTCTTCACGGGGGGCATCCCCGACCAGGACATGGTAGGCAGCCCGCGTCCTTCAGAACCCGCCTCTATCACAGTGAGCAGCCGGGGCCGGGGCGGGTGTGAAGCCGCAGCTCCTGCTCCGAAGGCCGTGCTGGGCCTGAGCATCTGTCTCCCACAGACCCAGGGGTCCATACACGGGGTGCCAGTGACTCCGAGTGACTCAGGCCCAGTGCCCCAGACACAGCCTGTTAATGGAGCATGGGAAACTCTTCTAGCCTTAGTGCCAAGCTGGAGGGGCAGAGGGGACCCCCGAGGGAGATGCTGAGGCTCATCAGCCTGGACCCAGTAGCTTCTGGCACCTCAGCCACGGCCCCTCCTGCCCTCTCGCCTCACAGACCTTGCTCAGCGCCTACATGGCCCAGACCTGTGGGGGCTGCGACCTCCAGCTGAACGTGAGCCTCTTCTACGTGGGGGAGCCCCAGCTGGACACCACCCCCCCTGCCTGCTACGCCAGTCGCATGGACACAGCAGCTGCCTACCGGGAGGCCACCCAGGCCGTGGGGGGTCGCTTCCACTGGTTTGGAGACACCGGTGCGTGAGGGTGGGCTGGATCCTTCTCTTTCTTCCCGGACTCTTGTCTCAGTACTAGCAGAGCCCTGGAGGTGTAGAAGATTCCAGAAAAGCATTGTGAGGAAGTCCCATTTCATTATTTATTTATTTTTATTTGGGGTGACGGGGTTGGGGAAGCTATGTCAAGTGATACTCAGGCCTTACCTCTGGTTCTGCATTCAGGGGTCACTCCTGGTGGGGCTCAGAGAACCATATAGGATGCAAGGGATTAAACCCGGGACAGCTGTGTGCAAGGCAAGGGCCTACCTGCTGTACTAACAATCTAGCCTCTATTTTTCTTTTTAAAGCTATTTAAAGCTTTTGTTTGGATTTGGGGGGGCCACACCAGTGGTGCTCAGCACTTAGGGGACCCTGTAATGCCAGGGATTAAACCCGGACCCCCACACATGCCTTCAACTCTTTGAACTGTCTCCCCAACCCTTAAATTCACATTTGATTTGATTTTACTTACTTTTTCACGAAGTATCATAATTTACTGTCACTGTCACTGCACTGTCCTCCCGTTGTTCATCGATTTGCTCAATTGGGCCCAGTAACATCTCCGTTGTGAGACTAGTTGTTACTGTGTTTGGCATATCAAATACGTCACGGGGAGCTTACCAGGCTTTGCTGTGTGGGCGAGATACTCTTGGTAGCTTGCTGGGCTCTCCGAGAGGGGCAGAGGAATTGAACCCGGGTTGGCCATCATAATTTACAATATGATTGAAGTTATTTGACAGTTATGAAGTTATCATGACAATCCTTCTGCCAGTATCTCAAGATCTCTCTGAAATCATATTTTTGTAACACGCCACTGTTTTGAAGTGGGTAGTGGTGGTTGACATTGTAAATGAACTTAATACAGCTGAGCTAGACTCATCCAAAGGGCTAACATGATCTGTTTTCTATCATCTGTATTTTTACTGCCACTTTTTGTGGGGTCAAACCCAGAGATGTTCAAGGGACCTTGCAATGATGGGGATTCCACCCAGAGCACTGCACAATGTGCGAGACATTTTGCCACAATTTTCTTGAAGTGAAAATGAAAGAAAAATAAAACTAAAACTATTTCTGGACTTCTGGAGAGATAACAGAGTGGGTAATGTGCTTACCTTGGATGTGCCAACCCAGATTTGATCCCTGGCCCTACATATACCCTCCAAAGGGTCATATGTAGGGCCAGGGATCAAAAACCCCCACCAGGACACCACAGCCCCTGACTACTACACCAGCTGTGTGAAAATGGCTTATGATTTCTGGCCCCAATATATATTCATGGCCCCTATGCGCGCACACACACACACACACACACACACACACATTTATAATGCCAGAGCTGGAAGAACCCTAAAGTTCCCTTAATTTAACGTTTGAAAAGGGTGGTATGTTTCTGACAAGCATGGTGGTTGTCAAAATAATGGCATGTAGAGCACAGAAAAATTATTCTTCTCATTATTATTATTATGTATTCATTTATTTGGGCTGTAGCGATAGCACAGCGCATAGGCTGTTTGCCCTGCACACAGCCAACCGGGTTCAATTCTTCCGTCCAGTAGTAGCGCAGCAAGCTACTGAGAGTATCCCGCCCGCACAGCAAAGCCTGGCAAGCTGCCTATGACGTATTCAGTATGCCAAAAACAGTAACAACAAGTCTCACATGGAGACGTTACTGGTGCCTGCTTAAGCAAATCGATGAACAATGGGACGACAGTGCAGTGCAGGGTATCAGAATATGCACACTAAAGTATGCCACTTTAACAGGCCTGGAAAGATGAGAAAGTACAGGGGTTAGGACACTTGCCTTGCACCCTAGTGGCCGTGGTTCAAATCCCTGGCATTATCTATGGTCCCCAGAGCACTATCAGGGTCATTCCTGAGCATAGAGACAGGAATAGCCCCTGAGCACTGCAGGCTGTGACCCAGAACTACCCCACCTGCCCAAAAATGCCCCATTGACATCAGGATGATTTGAAGCTGAAATGATGGAGAAACGAATGGTGATTTCAACAGAAAAGGGCCTGACTGAAAAAGCAGGACACTTGTAGCCGGGAGACTCTGAAAGGCACCTCCCAGGAAGAGGAGGCTCCCCTGGGTTCACACTCCCAGCTCTTAGCAGCCCACAGATAACAAGGCGTGGAAATCCCACTCAACCCGCCCTCGTTTCCAATTTATCCCCCGTCTTCACCTTCCCACAGGGAGCCTAGACCCCTCCCCCCACCTGTCATTCTCTACAGCTGTCCTCTTCTTTGGTGAGACGCTGAGTCTGCTCCGAGTTCTGTGCAGCCCCGGAGGCACTCACTCCATGGCCCCTCACAGCCACCTGCGCTCAGAAACTTGAAAAAGTTTGTTTTCCTCTTGCCCACCTGTTTTTGTTCACTTAATGGTCACATCTCCTCAGAAGTTCTCAGAGGGCAGAGGAAATTTTTTTTTTCTCTCTCCTGAATGTTATTTGTGCTCAGACACCCTCGGGGCTGCTCTCCAGGCCAATGACTCAGTTTGAGGGGGCCAAAGATATGGTGTTTCTTGACCTGGAGATCCCTAGGACAACTCAGCAGTGCTGAGATATTATCATTCCACCTGGTGAAGCTCAGTTCCTTATGGTGCCCAGGATCAAACCTTCATCAGGCACGAGCCAGGCCTACACCCTAAGCCCTGGGCCATCTCTCCAGCCTGCTCTGTGCTTGCCTTAGCATTTATTTTTTAACAATTACTTATTTATTTGTTTATTTATTTTGCTCTTTGGGTCACACCCAGCAATGCACAGGGATTACTACTGCCTCTGCACTCAGGAATTACTCCTGGTGATGCTCAGGGGACCATATGGGATGCTGGGAATCAAACCCAGGTTGGCTGTGTGCAAGGCAAACACTCTACCCACTGTGCTATAGTTCCAGTCAACATTTGTTTTTTTAAATACTGGGGCCAAGAGTTCCAGGGTACTACCAAAAAAATGCTAGCTCTGCATTGTAGTAATGACACAGATTGTCCTTGTTTATCTTTAATATCACCTACCGGGGTTGTGGTCAGGGGTCCTGTGGTGCCAGGAAGGAACTCAGGGCCTCACACGTAGGCATGTGCGCTATAACTTGAGTCAAATCTTCAGCTGTAGTTTTCCTTTTTATTTACATTTTATTTTGCGAGACCTCCCAAGCAATGTTGAGGGAGTTCAGGACCCCCTCTGGGAGATTCACAGCCCACCAGGATGTTAGTTGATTACAAGAACTGGGGCATAGGGCTAGAGTAATAGCATTTGCCTTGCACATGGCCGACCCAGGTCCAATTCACAGCATCCCATATGGTCCCCTGAGCACCACCAGGAGTAATTCATGAGTGCAAAGCCAGGAGTAAGCCCTGTGCATCACCAGGTGTGACCTGAAAAGCCAAAAAAAAAAAAAAACCTGTGGCATGTGGTTCTGGGTACCAGGGACCACCAGGGTCACAGCAGGGATGCTGAGGGAGCCATATGGTGCCGGGGATTGAACTGGGGTCAGGTACACACTCCCCGCCATACTATCTCTCAGACCCCAGACAGTAGCACCTTGAGTATTGCCAAGATGGGTCTTGCTATTCACTGCAAGAGCAGCCCCTCCACTTCCTTTGGGTGGGAGCTCCTGGGTACTAGCACCACGTCCCACGACCAGCACCTTCTCTTGGGGACCCCACTGGAGCCTCCTCCTGTCCTTCTGGCTCTAGCTCCCTCACTGCTGCCCCCTGATATGGACATGGCCTGTGTCTCCTGTCCACGCACTTTGTTTTCAGGCATTTTTGAAAGTGATGACATCGACATCATCACGTCGGAGATGGAAAAGGCTCTCAACTACTCCCAAAAGGTACCTCAGCTGGGTGGCTCTGTTGTCAGCATGTCCGGGGAGCTCTGTAAAAGACTGGGAACCAAGGGGCTTGAGACAGACATTCTCATGGCTCCAAGGTTGGAAATCTGAAATCAAAGGGTCGGAGCAATAGCACAGAGGATAGGGCATTTGCCTTGCATGCGGCCACCTGGATTCAATCCCCAGCATCCCATATGGTCCCCCGAGCACCACCAGGACTAATTCCTGAGTGGATTCAGGAGTAACCCCTGAGCATTGCTGGGTGTGACCCAAAAAGAAAGAAAAAAGAAAGAAAGAAAGAGAGAGAGAGAGAGAGAGAGAGAGAGAGAGAGAGAGAGAGAAAGAAAGAAAGAAAGAAAGAAAGAAAGAAAGAAAATCTGAAATCAAGGCATCAGACGGGTCAGGCTGTACAGAGAACGGGCTCAGGAGGATCCTCATGACCTTCTCCTAGCTCCTGGTGGCAGCTGGGGTGTTTTCAAAACCAACTGCATACAGTGCTTGTTAAAAATGTTGAGGAGACTTGGGTTGTTTTTCTATCCTGACTGCTGGATTAAGCTCTGTGTGAATACAGGTGTTTGGACAACTTTTTGAATGAATGCTTTTGTGTTGGAGGGGGTAGTGTATGTAGAGGCGGGATTACTATGCAGCCATATGAGAAGATGAAGTCCTGCAGTTCACTGCAACTTGGATAGGACTAGACGATATCACATTAAGTGAAAGAAGCCAGAGAGAAGAGGGTAAATACCCGATGATCTCGCTCAGCTATGAGACAGAGAGAAACAAAACTACGGAATAGATGAACCAAAGGAAAATAGGGCTGGAGTGATAATATAACAGATAGGGCTCATGCCTTGCATGCAGCTGACCCAGATTCAATCCCCAGCATCCCATATGTCCATATGAGAACCTCCAGGAGTGATTTCTGAGTATAGAGCCAGGAGTAACTGCTGAGCATTGCTGGGTGTGGCCCCCAAACAAAATAAAAAAGGATAACACGCCCTTGGCCCTGAATTGCATAACTGAACAACAGCAAGACATGAAGCCAATATGAAGTCAATTTATTTGTCCCTGAAAGGGGTGTAATGGATGGGAAACTGGGGACATCAGTGGAGAGATTGGTGCTGGACCATTTAATGCCTGAAACAATAATGACAGTGATCAAAGGGAGGGCAGGACAGGGGCCAAGTTACTAGCTAGAGAGATTGAATTCAGCTCCAAATACAGCAGAGGTGTCTGGGACCTAGACCCACGAGCAGAGAAAGGTCAGGGGATGGAAACTTACTCAGAGGAACTTGATTCGGTATCAAGATGAGGGCAAGTGTCATTAGACAGACTTGGCAGGACTCTTGGCTGAAAACAGCATGAGGTCACAGTCAAGGCCAGCAGAGAAGAGAGTTTAGAAGTGCTCAAGGGTCCCTGTCACCAACAGTCATTGGCTTGTGGCGACCCAGGTCCAAGCTCTCCCCTCTCTTCCTCCTCCCTGTGTGAGTCTGTACCTCCTCTTCTGAGGACACCAGTTACAATGGATGAGGCTCTGCCCCTTGTCCAGTGCGACCCCATAACTGAGATCTTAGTACATCTACAAAGGTCCCATTTTCAAGTCACTGTCATAGGTATTCAAGTTTAGACTCCTGCCTCTCTGGGGGATGCAGTTCATTCTGCACCAGCTGCTCTCATTCTGATCTGCTGACACCCAAGGCTTCAGATGAATCTTGGGCAATTCCTAGAAGTCATCGGTTGGGTATTCAGGCCTCCTCTGACTTGTCTCAGACACATCAAGTTCTTTCTGAAACCCAGGGCCTTGGCACTTGCTGTTTCCTCAGCAGTCTGTTCCCCTTCCTCCCAGCGGTGGGCCGGGGCAGGCAGCAAGCCAGCCAGCATTTGTGGAAAGAGCATGGTGGGCTTTGGAAGTAAGCTCTCCTGGCTTTGCATCTAAGGTTCTCCACCTAGATGCAAGTAATGGGGCCAGAGTTTTAATTTCCTCTTCTGCAAATGGAGGTGTGTGTGTGTGTGTGTGTGTGTGAGAGAGAGAGAGAGAGAGAGAGAGAGAGAGAGAGAGAGAGAGAGGTCGATCCAGTGTCTTCTGCTGTGTGTGTATATGTCTGTCTGTCTGTCTGTCTCTGTCTGTGTGTGCGCATGTGTGATAGGCTTGCACTCACCTGTCCTCCCCTGCTCTCCCCGTCCTTGCTGCAGTGCGCCTTGCTCGTCTCCTCTTTGAAGAACCAGTCCGGGAAAACAGTGGAGAAGGCAGCCTCACACAAGGAGAAGCCAAAGATGCCCAAGCACAAGAGTCACACCAGGAAGGGCGGTGCTGCCAAGGCCACCATCCCCTCGGGGGGCAGAACGGTCTGACTAACTCCCTAATAACACAGAATTTCTGTTTCCCTCTGTCTCCTGCTCTTTCCTGCCTCTTGAGCTGGCCTGGACCAGATCCCCAGAGTCCGGGCCCAGGGGGAGGATTGGGGAGGGGCAGTGGTTTGGAGTAGTGAGTGTCCCCGGCTTTGAAGAGGGAGAACTCCAAGGGGAGCTGCTTCTCCTCTCTGGGGCACCCCTGCCTTCAATTGCCTTTGACTAGGCTGTCTGTCTGACCGAGCTTTGCTCGCTAGCCCAAAGGGCTAAGGGTTCAGAGCAGTGGTCGCCATCCAGGTCACAAGGCAAGAGGGAAAACTCAGGGGGTCCCTCAGGGGCATTCACACCCAAATCACCAGGGAATTAGGGGTCTGAGGAGCTCCTGCAGCTTCCACCCCAGACTTCCTGTGCCTGGGGGTACCAGTCCCCATCACAGCCTTCGACGAACCTGTCCTGTGTAAATCACCCAGCAATCAGAAAAGACCTTGAAAGCCAGAGCTGGGGGGCGAGTCCAGGCAGCCTGGGACTGCTGAGTGGAATAGACAGGGACACACTGGGTGTGGCAGTAGGTTTACGGAGTCACCAGGCTTTGCCCACCACACCTGTGCCCAGGGAGAAAACCCAGCCTGTCTGGGAGTGGCATACTTCCTTCCCGGGGCTGTATTTCTCTCTCTCTCTCTTTTTTTTTTTGAAGTAAACAGATTTTATTCGGAGGATTTTTAGGTATGGAGCGATAGCACAGCGGGTAGGGCGTTCGCCTTACAAGCGGCCAACATGGTCGACCCGAGTTCGGTTCCTCCGCCCCTCTCGGAGAGCCCGGCAAGCTACCGAGAGTATTCGATATGCCAGACACAGTAACAACAAAGTCTCCAATGGAGACGTTACTGGGCCCGCTCGAGCAAATCGACGATCAACGGGAGGGCCTTTACCTTTACCTTTAGGTATGGAGGGAGAGAGAGAGTGAGAGTAACGTACTCAAGAGAGAACACAAGCTTCTCCAAGGGTGGAGAGAGAGCCCCTACACACATCCTAGCATTAGACATGAAAGCATGAAAGTACACATCTCAAGAGGGGAGATGTGGGTGACACATGTGCTCAGCCCACATGTGCTCAGTCACTTGGGCACAAGCAGCACATGAGCTCAGGCAGCATATGCACCCGGGGCTGTATTTCTGGTGTTCCAATAAGAATTCAGGGTTTCAGGAGCCTGTTCAGAGACATCACTCCCTTGGGCCTCCCAGATTCTAGGAGGGAAGCCCAGAGTCTCTTTGTTTGTCGTGGACTTCCCTGGTTCTCAAGTGGATTCAGTGGCTTTGCCCGGATACAGGGCTGGCAGCCCCTGAGGGACCACCCCAGGCCTTTTTAGGGCAGTCCACCCAGAGGTCGCCTCAGCTAAACCCCAAGACTCTGGCCACTTTGTGTAGTGGTCGCCACGTTACACCCGAGTCCAGCAAGAAGCTGAGATAAGCCGGAGGGAGAAAGACAAATACTGGGCGAGATGTCCCAGAGGACAGAGAAGATTCCCGAAGTCAGTTGCCATAATGGAGGCCCTGAAATTTCATGCAGTAGGACAAGAAGCAGGAAGCAGGTAAAGGAACTTCTGACCACTCTCCACCTCTGTAATAGGGTTTGTCTCTCTCTCTGTCTCTGTCTCTGTCTCTCTCTCTCTCTCTTTCTCTCTCTCTCTCTCTCTCACACACACACACACACACACACACACACACACACATACTCTTGCATTCACCTCAAACCCCCAAGCCTTCTCAGAATCTTCCACAGGAGAAGGGCAAACCTCCGCCCCCAAGGACAGCTTCTGGAAGAGTACCTGATGGACAGATTGAGGCTGGTCTCCTCCTGAAAAAATGGGTCTCTGATGGGAAAGATGGTCTGTTTTCTAGAACATTCAAGACAGCCCTGACAGAAGGAAAAGCCCCCCCTGGAAAACCTTGATATGGTGCCCACACAACAAAGCAGGTGCCCCTCCAGGTAACATAGGGCTGGCCTCGGGCTGGGGTGGGGCAGCAGAATCGATAATGACAGACATGAAATGTTCAATGCTGTTGATTCTTGATCACGCACCAAGGAAGCAAGATACTTGCCTTGCATGCAGCCAACCCCAGTTTGACTCCTGGCACTGCCTAGGGTCCCCAAGCACTGCCAGAGGTCACAGAGCTAGGAATGGGCCCTGAGCACCTCTGGATGTGGCTCCAAACCCCAAAATAATCATAACAAATAAACCAAGCATGCAACAATCAGGTCATTGCCATAGGTAATCTTTGCTTCCTCCTGTCTCTGTGTCCTACATGACCCCTTTGCAAACTGGGGGGCGCAGAGGGAGCATGAGATGGGGTGCGGAAAGCACTCCCATCAGCCACTGGTTCACATGTCCTTTAGCAACTGTCCGGGTGGGGCCTGAAAGGCCTGCGGAGCGGAGGAAGAAGAGCCAATCAAGGGCAGCAGAGACCTCGCTCTTACTGTTTTACACAGAGCTGGGGAACAGCGTGGGTAAGTTGGTGACCCCTCCAGTCTGTGGTCTTTGAGGTCTTCAACAGCAGGAAGATCACGGTAGGGAACTGGCATAAGCATTCTCCAGAGCAGACCTGACCTCAGGGCACCGGGGTGCAGAGAATGGACGTGCCCAAACCTCTGGGTTCTGCAGACCCAGCACTTGGGCTCCACACACTGGAGAGAGAGGCCAGGGCTGTGCCAGGCCAGCTTGATGCATGGCCGAGGCCTGCTACTTTGCAGTGATGTGGAGAAGGGCACCAGAGGGATCACTCTTTAATCGCCTCCTAATCACTCAGTGAATGCACCTGGGGAATTTTAACAGCTGACCCAAGTGACAGAGAAATTAACTCCAAAGGGAGTGGGGTGAGAGGGGTAATGGAGGGGCCAGAAGATGGCTTAAAGGGATGGGATGCATGTTTTGCCAGCGGGAGCCCTGGGTTTAGTTCCTAGAGCCATGTGGTCTCCTTAACATCACCAGGATTCTATCCCCGGCATCCCATATGGTCCCCTGAGCACCGCGGAATGATTCCTGAGCTCAGAGCCAGGAGTAAGTCCTGAGTATCGCCAGGTATGACCCCAAAAGAAAGAAAAAAACCATCACCAGGAGTGAGCATTGCAGAAAGCAACCCCAAGGACCAGTGGGTGTAACCCAAAACTCACAAAAATGTGGGTCGCAATGGAGGGGAAGGATGACAAGTATATAAGGTGACCTTACTCTTTGCCCCAGGCGCGGTGTATAAGAAGTACCCTCTGGGAAGGAGCATCAGAAGATCAAGGTCCATGTCTTCCCTCAACTTGCCCAAAAGAGATACAGTCTGCTCGAGCCGAGAGGTAAACCATCTGCATCAGTCCCTGCGCTGGCACAGAATCTGCCCACTCCCCCCATTGTGTCTAGACCCAGGAGGGTGGACATGTTTGGAAACAAGGACAAACATATTTAGAATGTCTGCTTCCATGGCGGGTTGGGAAAAGTTCCAAACCCACTCAGACACTAGGTTTGGGCAAATCACTTGCCTACATTCACTCACTGGTCAAATGAAGGTGATGATATCTCTCTAATAGAACCAAAACAAACTTTGTCTCAAGCAAATTGTAGTTTGTAGTTGCATGCAAGAAATACCCCTTCTCCATCATTCCAGAAGACAACACACATTTCTCCCCACGGCCAATCACTGAAGGTTTCTTGGTTCTGACTGGCCTAGGCCAGGATACCATGCTCCCGTGGATTAAGTTCTGCCCACCTTTGGCTCTCTCACTGGGACAAAGGGATGGAGATGATCTTAAGTGGTATTGAATCTGAATTTAAGATCTATCAGGGATTTTTATTCAAACTTAGTGTGTGAGGATTGAACTGGAGATAGGGACTTGTCACTGTTTAGATCAGGGACTGGTAGGTACTCAGTAGATGATGTTCCCAGTCACCCGCATTCCCTGTGTCTCCCCGAGCACCAGGGCAGGAATATGCATGTGATCTATGTTCTTAGAACTAAGAAAACCACCTTTCAAATGCAAGACAGATTCCAAACATGAGATTTAAAGAGAAGAGTCAGACAAGTTTCCCGTTAAGCTGGGCTTATTGAAGCTAACGCTTCTTTCCTTTATTCCAAGTGGCTAGCAAATTATGGGCTCAAGAAACTGAGGATGGAGATCTCCAAACACATCGGTCCCAACTGCACTCATCAAAATACCACACAAAGTTCAGCATCGGCCAAACACTGCAGTATCCTGCCCAGCATAAAAATCAATGTAAGTCATGAGCTCTTGTTTCCCTCTTCTCACCCAAGAAGGGCAGAGCACGCTAGGGAGTATTCTTTGAGTTGTATGGACAGGAGTTTCTGAGAACAACAAAATTCCCCCACAGGCAGTGGTTTCGTCAAATCTGTGGAATAAACGTCAAAAAAATTAAAAAAAAAAAACACTGAAAGTATGATGCAAGGTAACCCATTCCCCCATATACTACCAGGAGTCACTTGTGAGTACAGAGCCAGGAGTAATCCCTAGGCACCACGGGGAGTAGTCCCTAACCTCCCCCCTCCAAAATGAATAAAAGAGGGCCAGAGCAATAGCGCAGCAGGGAAGGTGCTTACCTTGCATGTGTCTGACCCAAATTTGGTCCCCAGCATCCTGTACTACTCTCCAAGAAGCACCAGGAGTAATTCCTGAGCAGAGTCAGAAGTAAGCCCTGAGCATCACTGGGTATGCCCCACCCCCAATTTTTTTTAAAAGGTAGAAAAGAGAATGAAAGAAAATCAGATCCTCAAAGGGGGCCAGAGTGATAGTACAGTGGGTAAGGTGCCTGCATTGCATAAGGCAGACCCAGGTTCGATCCCTGGTACCCCATAAGGTCCCCTGAACCTGCTAGAAGTGATCCCGGAGTGCAGAGTCAGGAGTAAATCCTGAGCACTGCCAGGTGTGACCCCCAGACAAATAAACAAAAATCAGACCCTCAGGTAACCTGAGGCCACACTCCAGGGTTAGGAGGGCTTATTCTGATGTCAAAGCAAAAGCAGTGGCCAAAGGATTCACTTAATATGCAGATCATCCCCGATACCGATGATGATCTGTTAGCAATGAAACAGGAACTGAAGGGGTTCTCATCTCTATTTTCTGGTTTTGTGGTCATGTCTTTTTTCTTTTCTTTGATAAGGGAACAAAAACATTACGGTAAAAATTTAGTGACGATTAAAATGTAAGCATTCTTTTTTGAAAAATCCCATTTTCCCTCAGGCTTCTTAGGCCACATTATCATCATAAGAGAAAAGCAGAAAACTAAAACTAACCAAGGAATTTACAATTGCCCATCAGAAACATCTTATGGTATCTTCAAGTTGTTCCCCTTGAGGTCAACATTTCGTTTGAAATTTTTGGATCTTTCATTTCACTGTTAAACAGTTTCGATTGTAAAATTGAGAGATGTGCTTTCTATTCATTTGTTTGCTTTGTTTTTCTGTTGGCTTTTGGGTCATAGCTTTTGGTGATGCTCAGGGCTTACTCCTGGCTCTACACTCAGGGATCACTGAGTGGTGATCAGTGGTGTTCAGGGGACCATATTGGATGCCAGGGATCGAATCCAGGTCTGCCACTTGCAAGGATAGTGTCCTACCCTCTGTACTGTCTGCAGCCTCCTGGTTTTTATTCTTGTAGTGGCCACATTTGCCATAAAACCATCAGTCTAGTCCTTTAGTAAAGAACAGGGAGAGCAGGCAGAGCAAGGTAAGGCACTTGCCTTGCATTCCATATGGTCCCAGAGAGCTGCCTGGAGTGATTCCTGAGTGCAAAGCCAGGTGTAACCCTTGAACATCGCTGGTTAAGTCCCCTCCCAACACCCCTCCATAAAAATAAATGAAAATTTAAAAATAAAGGGGGTAAAGCTTTTAAACACACAAAAAAAATGTGTGCTGAACAGATGTTTTGGACATTACGAACCACAATGGATTCAAACACTTTGGAGGCTGCAGAGCTAGAACAGTGGGGCGGGATGCGGGGGAAAGGGGGACGCTTGCCTTGCATGCAGCCAAGCCAGGTTCCACCCACAGCACCACCAAGAGTTATCCCTGAGCACAGAGCCAGGACTGAGCCCTGAGCACCGCTGGGTGTGGCCCCCAAGCCAAAATAAATAAGTAAATGAAGTTGGTGGGAGGAGCACACAGGGGAAACTGAAGAAATAGCTGATGGGGGGAATTTGCCTTCGTGCAGGGCACAGTGAAGCACAGCCGCTGCACGCTCAGGGAGATGGAAGCGTACATCGCCTGCCTGGAGAAGCTGACCAGGCGCTACGTCCAGCGGCTGCAGTGGCTGCTGTCCGGTGAGCCAACTGCTGGTTGGAGACTGGCAGGGGTTGGGAGCAGGGGGGACAGGGCCTCGGGGACCTGAGTCCTTCCACACCAGGAACTTACAGACATTCAGGTCAGAAATTAGACCAGGAGGAGATAGATCAGAGCTTCTGAGCTTGGGGCACAGAAAAATGGACCAGGGGCCAAAAAGCATACCCCAGGGCCAGCCCTGCCCTTCCGGCCCGCTGCTTGGCCATCTTCCAGGCCTTGCCTTCCTAGGCAGCACCTAACACCTCAATCTCTAGAATCTGCAGGTCCTGTCGATGGGGACCCACAAAGCTGCCCACATGGCAGGGATCCCCACGGGGCTGAAACCCCTTCGTTTTTCTTATAGAGAGCACCAGGGCGAAGGAGAGCAGGTGGTACCCAAGGGGAGGGTGGGCTGTGCCCAGCAGGGTCTGAAGAACGAGGTCCAGGAGACTGGGCCAAAAGCGGTGAGAGGGTGGCGGGGCTTTGGGACAGGAAGGAGAGTCACACGGGAAACCGGAGCAGGATCTGTTTTCTAGAGACACCCCTGCCCCCCAATCCCGGCCCCCCAGGATTAGGCCCACTGGGTGCCGTCTAGCCTGGAGAAAATAATGCATGGCCTGGGGCAGAGAAACAATTTTTTTTTCTTTTTTGGGCCACACCCAACGATGCTCAGATGTTACTCCTGGCTCTGCACCCAGGAATCACTCCTGACGGTGCTTGGGGGAATCATATGGTATGCCAGAGATCGAACTTGGGTTGACTGTGTGCAAGGCAAATACCCTACCCACTGTACTATCTCTTTGGCCCCAGAGAATGAATTTTTGAGAGACTCTGAGGGGGCCAGGAGCCCCAGGTGAAGCAGAGCAGAGGCCGGAGGGGGGCAGTGTGTGGGCCTCAGGCCTGAGTCATGTCTGATCCGTCCACCAGACACTGTGGCCTCTTTCCCAAGGGCCTAGAGGTCACATCATAGACCCGTGAGTTTGGCTTCCAACAGACAAGGGCTGCTCTCCACCGGGGGGGCTGGGAGATGGTAGGGGCGTCAACAGGCCCCCAAGCCCTTGAGCGCACAGTATCTGCGGAGTGATCCCTGAGCACGGAGCCAGGAAAAGCCCCGAGCATCACTGGGTGTGAACATCCCTCCCCGCCAAAAAGAAAGGGAAAAGAAAAATTGAATCAGGAGCCAGAGTGATCATCTCCCCAGCGCCCGCACTGACCTGGCTTGCCCCTCACTGCCAGCCCCTTTGACAACACCAGTTCCCAGGGTCTAGACAACCGGTGAGGGAGCCATGGCGTGGGCGACCCTTCATGCCCTTGCTGCCCTCCCCGGCCCACCACGGAGCAGGGAGTCGCCGGATGTTTGGCGCCATCCTGGAGAATAGAGTGTGCATCCTGCTGGACACGTCAGGCTCCATGGACCCGCACCTGCAGCAGGTGAAGACAGAGCTCGTCCTGCTCATCTGGGAGCAGCTGCGCACGCACTGTGACAGGTGAGAGGCGTGGGAGCACTATGACAGGTGAGAGACATGGGAGCACTGTGACAGGTGAGAGACATGAGAGCACTGTGACAGGTGAGAGGCGTGGGAGCACTGGGACAGGTGAGAGATATGGAGCACTATGACAGGTGAGAGGCGCGGGAGCATTATGACAGGTGGGAGACATGGGAGCACTGTGACAGGTGAGAGGCGCGGGAGCACTGTGACAGGTGAGAGGCGCGGGAGCACTGGGACAGGTGAGAGGCGTGGGAGCACTGGGACAGGTGAGAGACACGGAAGCACTGGGACAGGTGAGAGACATGGGAGCACTGTGACAGGTGAGAGCGTCAGAGCCCCTGGGCGTGCCCGGCAAGACTCCAGCCCTTCACGTTTTCCTCCCAGCCCCTGACCCATTTTTTTTTTTTCTTTTTGGTTTTTGGGATCACACCCAGCGGTGCTCAGGGTTTTTCCTGGCTCCATGATTAGGGATCCCTCCTGGAGGAGATCAGGGGATCACCTGGGGTGCCGGGGAGGGAAACCAGGTTGGCGCCAAATCCAAGACAAAACCCTCCCCATTGTGCTCTCGCTGCAGCCCTGGCCCGAGTTTCAGCGATGCAGGGGTGTTATCACTCCTGCCTCCAAGAGGACAGCAGAGCGTGCTGGTCCTAGGTGGGGGCTCACTCCCGCCTCTCGACAGTAAACATCTATCAAGAACTTTCTGGGTGCCACACACTTGCCCCGCGTGACTTCATTCACTCCTCCCGGGGACCCCATGCGGGCTTACCGTCTCATTTCTCAGAAGAAACTAGAAGTTGGGTGAAAGAGCACATCCAGGACCTTGTAACTATTTGTGGCTGAGATGAGCAGGAGTGTCTCAGGGCTGGGGAAGGAGCACAGGGGCGCAGGCACAGGGCAGCAAGTTCGATCCCCAGCACCCCCAGAGCCCAGAGCCAGGAAGTAAGCCCTGAGCATCGCCAGGTGTGACCCCAAAACAGAATAAAACAAACTAACATGCATCCTTCCCGCCTCCAGAATCCGCCTGACTCTCGGTGCCACGGTTCCATCCCAGGGGCTGCAAGGCTCGCTGTGAGAGTCCTCATGACAGACCCGAGCGGTCTGGGTGCACGAGACCCCAAACGCCACACGCGCCGGCTCCTTCTCACTGATCTGCCCTCTTCTCTCCAGTTTTAATCTGCTCAGCTTCGCGGATGACCTCCAGCTGTGGCAGGAGACGCTGGTGAAGACCACAGAAGCCGCCTGCCGTGAGGCTATGCAGTGGGTGGCCCACCTGAGTGCTCAGGGGAGCACCTCCATCCTGGAAGCTTTACTGGCAAGTTGCACCCCTGAGCTCAGCCCCATAGCCAAGCACAGACACCGGCACCTGTCACAGTGACAGGGCACAATGCTTTTCCTTATTTATTCTGGGGATTCAGGAGTTTCCATCAAGTGCTGCATGGGAGCTACTCCCAGCTCAGTGCTTGGGGATCCATCAGAGACCTCCCATGCACATGCGCTGACCCTTCGAACTATCTCCCTGTCCCTGATAGTGCTCCCTGCTTCAGCATTACAAAGAACTTTTTGTTCATTTAATTTACTTAAAGATTCTCTTCGGGGCCAGAGAGATAGCACAGCATGTAAGGCGCTGGCCTGGCATGCGGCCCTCCTGGGTTTGGTTCCCGGCATGCCATTCACTCCTCCAGTGACCCTGGGAGGACTTATCGGCTCATGTCTCAGAAGAAACTGGGAATTGGGTGAAAGGGCATATCCAGGACCGTGTAATCATTCGGTACCTGAGATGAGCATGAAGTGTCTCTCGCAGGACTGGGGAGAGAGCACCGGGGCTCAGCACATTGCAGCAGGTTCGATCCCCAGCACCCCCAGAGTTCACTCCCAGAGCACAGAGCCAGTAGTAAGCCCTGAGCATCACCAGGAGTGATCCCTGAGCACAGAGCCAGGAATAAGCCCTGAGCACAGAGCCAGGAATAAGCCCTGAGCACTGCTGGATGTGGGGCAAAAAAAAATTTTTTTTAATTATTTTTAATTGACAATGACTTCATCCCCACCTTCCCGGTAAGGTAAGGATTCTCCTGGTGAAGTGAGACAGGGAAACACAAAGGCTCAGTGACATGCGGTGACTTGGTTGGGGTTCTCCAGCAAGGAAGTGGGCTGTGCAGGCTGAAGGGAAGTCTCAGGGCCTTCAAGAACAAGTCAGTGGCATCCAGACACACACACACACACACACACACCCCACACACACTTTTCCCAGGTGACTGGATGTGTCCTTAAGGTGAGATCCACCCCCAAAGTCAGACATGGGCTATGTTCTTCCAGAAAGCTTTCAGCCTCCAGGACGTGCAGGCCTTGTACCTCCTGACAGATGGGAAGCCCGACACCAGCTGCAGCCTGGTCCTCAGGACAGTCCAAAGACTCAAGGAGGAAAGAGACATCAAAGTCCACACCATCTCCCTCAACTGCTCTGCCAGGTGGGTAGGGGAAAATGGTGAAGTTGGGGTCCTTCCCTGGGGCCCCAAGTCTGAGCTTCTCACCTAACCCAGAGGCTCACATTAGATTCTGCTCGATCCCAGGGCCAAGCCACTGTACCAGAAATTACATGCGGCCAACCGGGGTTCGGTCTCTGGCATCCCATATGGTCCCCTAAGCAACACTAGGGATAATTCCTGAGTGCGGAGCCAGGAGAAACCCCTGAGCACCACCAAAACACATACAAAAAAAGAAGGAAAGGAAAGGTAAGGAAAGGAAAGGAAGGAAGGAAGGAAGGAAGGAAGGAAGGAAGGAAGGAAGGGAGGGAGAGAGGGAGGGAGAGAAAGAGAGAGAAAGAAAAAAGGAAGGAAGAAAGATAAAGAGAAAAAGAAAGAAAGAAAGAAAGAAAGAAAGAAAGAAAGAAAGAAAGAAAGAAAGAGGAAGGAAGGAAGGAAGGAAGGAAGAGAAAGAAAGAAGGAAAGGAAGAAAGAGAGAGAGAAGAAAGGAAAGAAAAGAAAAGAACGAAACTAGAAAATCCAGAAGGTGTAGCCCAGAGGGAAGGGTTACCTCTCCCTGCTCTAACTCTGGGCCCACGCTCCTGATGGTCTCCACTGGGGAAATGGCTTTGCACAGATTCCCACAGTCACATGATGCGTTTTCCCTCCTGTTCACTCTTTTTCTTCGGGGGGGGGGGCACTTTTGTGAATATTTATGGGGAGGTGGTAAAGATGCATTGTGCTGGTTATTTTCATCAATGATCCCCACGGAAGAACATGTGTGCAGCAAGAGAGAATCGGTTCCTACAGGAAGAGAAGGCACTAGAATATCCTCAGGAAAGCTGTGATGATTGATAAGCATTTCCCTCTGTCTCAAGTAGAGGCTCCCAAATCGATTTTCCCACCACATCCATTTTTCAGAAAAGAAATTACGTAGGGACCAGAGTGATTGTACAGCAGGAGGGCACTTGCCCTGCTTGTGACCGAACCAGGTTCAATCCCTGGCATTCCCATAGGGTCCCCTGAGCACTGCCAGGAGTAATCCCTGAGTGTGGAGCTGGGAGTAAGGCCTGAGCAGCATCACCAGATTTGACCTTACACCACACACACACACACACACACACGAATTTACTTAGTGCCCCTAGACATCTACCTTCTTTAAGCAAACAAACAGGAAGTTCACACACACTCTTACACTCAAAACCACTAGGGGTTATTCCAACCTGGATCATTCCAGCACCCCCTTGGGGTGTGGGGCTGGCATCTCTTGCTTTGGAAAAATCCCAGTACACCCCTTCCCAGATGAACACATAGTAGGTGCTGTGGAGACATCCAACAGGAGAATGGGCCTGGGTGGTGTTTGGGGGTTGGGGGGAGTCTGGGCTGAATGACCCCAACATGGTCACTCCACTGCATGCAATCTCAGGGGCACAGAGCCCCCAGGTCCCTTATGAGACCTGCGGTCCCCTGGGCTGCAGGCTCAAAGGAACCTTGCCAGCGTGCTGTTCCTCCCCTAGGGAAGAGATGAAGTTCCTGAGAAGCCTAGCCGCCCTCACCGGGGGGCGCTACCACTGCCCTGTGAATGAGAAGTCGGTCCTCCAAATCCACGGCCTGCTCACCAGGGGCTTCATGGAGGAAGGGGTGAGTGGTGGGGCTGCAAGCCTGCTCGCAATAGCATGCCACCTGCTGTGTCTCTCCCTACCCACTGCAAAGATCTCTCTAGGCCAAAGATTCCGACGCTGGCCTGGACCGTATTTCCCGGCTGGCCTCCCTTTCGATTTGACTGGCCTCAAGGTTGGGAAAGCAGCTGGCTCTGGTTGGGTCCAGATTTAGGGACAAGAAAGTTTCTGTTCATGGAGAACTCGAAATTCTATCTACTCCACCCTCACTATCCCTGACTAACAGCTGAATGAGTAAACCCAGTAAGGTTTAAGAGAACATCTAGGAAAGATCTAGGATTGGAGCACTGCCAGGAGTGATCCCTGAGTGCAAAGCCAGAACTCAGCCTTAAACACAGGCAGATGTGGCCCCCAAAGCAAAATAAAAGATAAAATAAAAACGCACCTGGGGGCCAGAACAGTAGCATAGCAGGTCGGGCACTTGCCTTGCATGTAGTCGACTCAGGTGTGATTCCTGGCACCCCATATGGAGCCCTACCAGGAGTGATCTGCCAGGAGTGATTCCTGAGCATACAGCCAGGAATAAGCCATGAGCACTGCCAGGTGTGGCCCCAAACCAATACCAAAAGTAAATTGTCTAAAATTCGAGCAAGGGGCCGAGAAAGAGTATAGCAGGTAAGGCATCTATCTGTCTTGCATGCAGTCAACCCGGGTTCAGTTCTGGCATCCCATGTGGTCTCCTAAGTTCATCAGAAGTGACTCCTGAGAGGCTGGAGCACAGCCCCTATAGCATAGCAGTAGGTCATTTGCCTTCCACGCAGCTGACCGGTATTCGATTCCCAGCATCCATATGGTCCCCTGAGCACCACCAGGAGTAATTCCTGAGTGTATGAGCCAGGAGTAACCTCTGTGCATCGCCAAGTGTGGCCCAAAAAAGAAAAAAATATGTGACTCCTGAGCACAGAGCCAGGAGTAAGCTTGGAACACTGCTGGTGTGACCCAAACCCACTCCATTCCCACCCACCCCTGAAAAACTAATAAAATAAAAAACTCGACCATGTGATAAAATAGGGAATTGAAAGATACAGTGCCATTGAGGCACTTGCCTTGCACATGGTTGACCTATGTTTGATTTCCAGTACTACATATAACCCCCAAAACACCACCAGGAGTGATCCCTGAGCACATAGCCAGGAGTCCTGGGCACCACTGGGTGTAGCCCTCAACTAGCTAGGTAAATAAATAATAAAGTAGGAGCCCAGCAACCCAAGTGTTCAGCTTTAGACTTTAATTCCTGTGCTTTTCTGTCTTCCCGAGTTATATGCATGAAACACAGATATTTAAATGAGCCCTTAAGTACAAACTCTGATGTACTGGTGGAATAAGAGGCACATACCCAATCTTTCACATCTGAAAGCAAAACTAGGCACAAACGCATACCATCGGGAACATGGTGCTGTCGATTATGACCTCTGCAGATCATTCATTCGTCAAGTAGCACAGCCAACCAAAATGCCATCTTTCTTTCAGGAGAGTGAAGATTGCTGTGACAGGCTGTAACATAATATTTTTAATAAGGGCCACGCATCAAGATAGTGTGGGGGCATCAGGGCTACAGCTGGCAGTGCTAGATCGGGGGCACCCACAATGGGGACTGACCCACCCCCAGAGGCTCACACATGATAGGCATGTGCCCTGCCCCTGGGCGGTCTCTCTGGCCCCTGGTATCAAGTGGTTGGCATGACTCCTTTGACTCCTTTGTGCAGGTCACTCCTTTAGCGTAAAATAGGACAAATGCTAGTGAGCACAGAGCAAATGACGGTCACCATAATTCTCTCGTGTTCTTCTAACACAGGAAAACAGATTTGATGACATCGTTCAGGTTAGCTCAAGTCAGATGGTCATCCTCTGGTTGAGAATAAGCTGTTCCTGCTGCTGTGGCTGGCGAGAAGGGGGTGCTTCGTTCCTTTCGTGGATTATCTCACTAATTATAGGAAGGGTGCTTTTAAGGCTAGACTCTGGAATTTCACTGGTTGCCATCTTCATTTTTTTTTAAAAAAAGAAGGGACCAGAGCGATATAGTACAGCAGGTAGGATGCTTGCCTTGCACGTGGCCAACCCGAGTTCAATTCCTGGCATCCCATATGGTCCCCCAAGCACCGCCAGGAGTAATTCTGAGTGCAGAGCCAGGAGTCAGCCCTGAGCATCACTGGGTCTGGCCCCCAAAGAACCAAATATAAAAGGGAGAAGAAGAAGAAGGCTGGGAAAGACTGCATTCTACCAAAAAAAAAAAAACAGTAGAGAACAGGTTGAAGAGACTGTCCTGAATAATCTGAGCAAAGGAACATATTTCCTTTCTGTGCCGTGACGTGCAGAGAGGGACTGACGTCAGCAAGGTCCATAGACTCTAGGGGCTTGGCACCCCCCGCACTGACCCACAAGCATCTCCTTTGCAAGCATCACACTTTTCAGAAGGACTGCCTAGGTGGGAGATGGGGCCCTTAGGGGTCCTGCCGGGGTGGGAGACTTGCATCAGGCTGATCCCCAAAGCTTTCTCTTGAGCATTTGAACTTCTGGTCTGGTCAGCCACTGAATGACACTGACTTCTTTCTTGTTTCCTCCCTTTCAAGGATCCCACGTTGCCACAGTTTGAAGGGGATGATTTAAGGAGTCTAGCCCAGGAGATCACCAAGGCCAGAAACTTCCTCCGACAGGCCCAGTCGCTCAGGTAGACTCACTCACCAGCCCATCGACCCCCAGGACCCTCAAAGCGGGGCCAGTCTTGGTCTTGGCCCCTTTTATTCCAAGAGTTCCTATTTCTCCCTGCCAGGCTCAGCGGTCTGAGCTTGGAACGAGGACTGGGTGGAATTATTTTCCTCATCTTCTCCTATTCACTAGGTCTCAACTCCAGAAGAAAACACTAGAAGAACCAAAGGCCACTTTGGCTTAGAGAAATGATCTCAGGGAAGCGGAGGACACGGAGGCCCCATCTTCTTAGTCCCCCAAAGGCTGCATATTGTGAACAGTTAAGCGGAAGGATCAAAGCCAAAGAATCACAATTCTGGAGCCAGAGCGATGGTACAATCGGGAGGGCATTTGCCTTGCATGCAGCCAACCTGGGTTCAATCCCCAGCATCCCATATGTTCCCCCAAGCACCACCAGGAGTAATTCCTGAGTGTAGAGTCAGGAGTAATTCCTGAGCATCACTGGGTGTGACCCAAGCAGAAAAAAAAAATCATAATTCCTCTAAGCAGAAGCGTTCCTATCAGGAGCACAGTTTGGCCCTGAGCAGCAGAGGCCGTGGAGATCTTCAACCCACGGATAAGCCCTAGGACACATATTCCCAGGCACTGGTGCTCCCGGGAAGTCAACGGAGAAAGAGTTCTTCACCCACGAACCTCCCCTCGCATCTCTGGCCTGACCCCAACCAGGTACCAGTCTTAGACATGCTTCCCTCTGCCTGGCCACTCCTGCGCTTGCTCATGTAGGAGCACCTGGGTGAGGAGGTGTCTGGAGCCACCACCCTTCGAACTGTGTCCCCACCACAGTCCCTGCCATACTCCCACCTGCCCTGGTCAAACTCTTCTTTCTCCTTGAACGTGAACTCCAGGAGGGAGTGGTGGGGTACTAACAGCCCCAGGTCCCTAGAACCTACCACTTGGCCATCCATCTGGGTGAATGTTCAACGTCGGGTTGGAGGCATGGGTGGCTCTCAAACCCGCCAACAACAGTGGTGCCTGCCGGATCCTTCTGCTCACCACTCAGAGCCAACCGCCACTCCTGTCCACACCTCCTTGGAGGAAGAAGCAACCACCGAGCCTGACCACGCCCTTCTCCCTGCACTACCCAGACTCCCAGGGCTGCTCCCAAGCTCAGTCCAGGAGGAGGCCCAGCTCCAGAGGGAGGAAATCAGGCCGGGCAGCTGGACCCTGGTGCATGTGCACATGTGAAATGCTTGTGTCATACCCTACATCATCTGGACTCAGGTTTTAAGTCAAGAAAAATTGCTTGTATTTAATGAACTAGATAAAATGAATTGTAAACTGAAGTGATTATTGATTGTGCGTTTGTGTGTGTACGTGTGTGTGCGTGCGTGTGTGTGTATGGGTGTATATAAAACTTTGGTGAGATGAAACTATTAAAAGTAACATAGCTGGGTTCCATGGGTCAGAGGGACGTCTTGCATGCACAGGACCTAACACCAACACCATAAGGTATCCCCAAGGATATCAGGGGAGCCCCAGAATACCACCTTGGGGGTCCTTGTAGCCCCCAGCATAACTTGAGCAGTATTGTATCATTGGGCCTCAGGAAGAACCATCTAGCCCAGTTGTCTAATTACCAAGAGTGGTCCCTGAGGTTCTCTGAACACTGTTTGGAAGGCCCCAAAACAAAATTTAAAAAAATAAAACTCATATCCAGGAGAGTAGGCGCTGGTTGACATGGTTCTGAATTCCCTCACCACATATGTCTTCCAGCACCGCCAGGGGGCACTCTTGAGCACAGAATCAGGAACAGCCCCTGAGCACCAGGGCACCTCTCCCCAGAGACTCGTCTCCAGGGCTAGAGAGACACTACAGAAACTAAGGTGCTTGCTTAGCATGGGGCCGGCCCTGCATGTGGTCCCATAAGCAGTCCCCTAAGCACTACCAGGGGTCATTCCTGACCACAGAGCCAGGAATAGCCCCTGAGCACTGCCATGTGTGGCCCCCGCAAGCCCAAAATAAATAGGGGTGAGCCCCACACCTGGCACTGGCTGCTCCTGTTCTGTGCTCAGGGCTCACTCCTGGCAGTACTCGGGACCACATGTGGTGCTGGGGATCACACTGGTTAAGCCATTTGCAAGACAAGTGTAGCGTAACTCCTGTACTATTTCTTGCTATTACTGCTTTATTTTCATTTATTTTTGTCTGGGGGCCACGCCTGGTGATGCTCAAGGGTTACTCCTTGGCTCTCCACTCAGGAATTACTCCTGGCAGTGTTTAGGGAACCATACGGGATGCCGAGGAACCAACCCGGGTCAGCGGCAAACAAGGCAAGCTTCTTCTGAAGTGCCTTGGCGGGCTGCGTTGCTTCCATCTCCGTCCCGGGTGCCCTCCGGTCCCGTTTCCCCTCACTTCAGGGATGCCTCGTTTAGATGAGGGTCCCTCTGGTGTGGCCTTAGGCTAAAACACTTCCCAGTGAGGTTCCCACGCAGCCTGGTTCCGAGGCCCTTGGGAGGGGGGAGGGGTGTTTGCAGAGGCGGAGGTGAGGTGGAGGACCAGTTCCATTTGTAACAGTTGTCAGCTCTGCTCGGCCAAGGCCAGCCGGCCTGAAGGCCTGGGGGAGAGGGTTCCCCGGGGCCAGCCGGCGTGGGAAGGGGAGGGGAGGGGCGGGAAATCGGAAAGGGGAGAACGGCCGGTAGGTGGGTGGAGAAAACCGGTTCCGGGGTCTGGGGACAGGCTGTGCGGGCAAGACCAGGCTCCCACGACCTTGCTCTCTCTCCCTCGCCGCCCCACGGCGCACCCCACTCCAACCCATCCCCGCTCCGCCGGCCTCCGTCTCCCTCCGTGGGAGCCTCGGGCCGAGGAGGCGGCTGGGGGCGGGCGCGGGGCGGTGCTGGGAGGCGGGGAGGTGGCGGCCCGCCCCGTCCAGGCGCGGACTCGGCCCGAGCGCCCGGCGCCGCGAGAACCCCAGCCAGGTGTGCGGGCCAGGTGAGTGGCGGGGCGCGGGGATGCAGCGCGCAGGGATGCGGCGCGGGAAGCCCCGCGGGGCTGATGTTGGACTGGGGGTGCGGAGCGGGGCGGGAGACACTCGCACCTGCCCGCCCCGCGAGGTGCGCACAGCCCCGGGGGGTCCCTGGTACCTTTCGGCGCATCCTTTCACCGAAAGCTGCTTCGGGGAGGCCCCAGCGGAGTTACCTGAGAGCCAGTTAACCAGGACTCCGTTGGAAAGTTGGAAAATGGCCTCTGGACCTCAGTGTCCGTCACTGGGAGGTGTAACGCCTGGATATCTTAGCCCCCGCAACCCCCTTAGTCAAGACACCCTGGAGCTGTTTCATCCCTTCGGCCACCTCGGGGCGCCGCCCCGCCGCCCGCCGGCCCTGCTCCGGGCCGCGCCCCTGCCTGCGTGCCTCCCTCCCTCTTTGCCCGAGGCTTCAGCATCTCTGGGTCCCGGGCGCAGCGGAGGGCGCTGGGTCCGCTCACAGCCAAGCCTGGCGGTTGGAAGGATTTGGCCCCGGGAGTCACCCAGGACACGGGTAGGGGGCAGAGTCCTTGGCTCTGTCACGTCCACTGTCCCCGACCGGGGCCAACGGCTCCATTCTGAACTGCGTCCTCTTCCCCTCCTCCTTTATCCATGTGACGGCTCCGGCTTGGGGTGTCCCCACCCCGCGACGTGGCTGACCCTCTAGGGACTGTGGGAGCCGGTGTGTAGGTGTGACTCTGTCCCCCGCCGAAATTTTGGAGGGTGGGTCAGAGGCGGAGAGGGGGCAGCTCTGACCGGTCATTGTTAGCATCTTTGTTCCCACCCACCAAGACCACTTCATGTCTCAGTCTAAGGAGGCAGAGGACCCCCGACCCCCACTTAGCTTCTGACACTGCTGAGGTCAGCTGGGGTGGGGCACGGAGGGGGGTTGGCCTGATCCGTGTCGTGTCTACAGGAGAGCCCCAGGCGGAGGGAATACGAGGCGGCGGGAACAGTGACTGGCAGCCCGGGATAAGGAATTTACCGGGTCTTGGGTAGAACTGGGGTGCTGGGGCTGGAGCCATAGGGCATTTGCCTTGCACGCGGCTGACCTGGGTTTGATTCCCAGCATCCCATATGGTCCCCTGAGTGCATGAGCCAGGAGTAACCCCTGTGCATCACTGGGTGTGACCCAAAAAGCAGGGGTGCCATTGTCTGTGCTCCCGGTGAGGGGGTTCCTGGAAGAACCAGAGGCCCTGGGAATCAGAGTGGAGGGGCTCCTTCAACTGGGATGTCGTGGGAGCCCCACTGGATTGGGCCCCCTGCGGCTCCCTCATCTTCCTCTCCTCCTCCTCCTCCTCTCTCATGCTCCACCCCTCCCGGAAACCTCCCATCTCCCCACACTCCAGAATTCTCAAACCCGGGCTGCCTCGGGTGTGTCCCAGCTGTCTTCCCCCAGGGCTGTGTAGAGACTGATCCAGAAATTGGGAATGTTTGGGGTAAATCTCAGCCATACACTGTGATTTTGAGCCTCAGTTTCCCCAGCTATAAAATCCAGGGCCCAACAGTCCCCTGGTCGTTCTGAGATTTAGAGGGACAGTTTTTCTGGAAACTCGGGCTCTCGGTCTCCTGCCCGGAGTTCCCACGGCCCTGACCGGAGGGAACAGTTCCTGAGTTGCAGACACATGTGAGGATCAAACTGATGCTGCTGCATTTTTTTCTTTTATAAAAAGTTTATCAGAAAGTAGAAGGGAAAAGAAAAACCAAACCAGGGAGGAACTTAGGATCAAAACCAAACCAAGGAGGAACTTAGTTAGGATCAAGCTTTTTTTTTTTTTCTTTTTGGGTCACACCCGCTGATGCATAGGGGTTCCTCCTGGCTCTGCACTCAGGAATTACTCCTGGCAGTGCTCAGGGGCCCCTATGGGATGCAGAAAATGGACCCCAGGTCGACCGTGTGCAAGACAAATGCCGTACCCGCTGTGCTGTTGCTCCAGCCCCAGGATCTAGCTCCTTAAACTGTGGGTCGAGATACCATGTGGTGTCACCTTATTGAAGAAGGCTGGTGTAAGAAGTTTGGCAATAGTAAACGGTTTCTGAACAGGCAGTGACCAGAAGTTAACTCCAGGGCTGGCGAGAGAGTAGAGCAGATAAGGTGCTTGCCTGGCACACAGCTGACCCCGGTTTGATCCCCGACATCCCGTATGGTCCCCGAGCTCCTCCGGGAGTAAGGGAGGTGGAGCCCTATACTCTCCCTCCCCCCACCGATTAAATTCAGAATCAGTGTTAGGAATCTAGAAGTTTCTGACTGGTCTCCCCCCAGGTTCCAAGTCTCAGCAA